TTTTCATTGGTTTTCCCCTATTTATAATACATATTGTCCCAATTCTTTAATTTTATGGTTCGACAACTGCCAGCGGGGTGAAGGTTGTCCAGATTTGGTTCGCACTTCAAATCTGAGCTGTGAAGCTTTACTGAGCCTCCTTTCAGGCATAACGATGTTTGCGTTTGCATTTTACGCCCTTTTTGGATCTAAATATCCAAGATGTAGTTGTTCTTTTTGTTAGAGCTATTTTTTAAATCACTTCAAAACTTCATTTCGGCTTATATTCTCTTTCTTTAAATCAATTTTTTGGTAATCCACCTTCTAAGCATTATCATTATCACATCGGTTTTAAGCAAAACTAACCAACAGTTAAATGGTAAAGGTGTTCTATATGAATCTTACAAAGATGACCTTACTCTATACATTTATTGGGTTTATGACATGATACAACTTCTATTATCATCCCGGCACCTGTTTTAGAATCTTTACTGTCCATTTCCCATGTTCCAATTCATAGATCAACCTCTTCATTCATCGAATTTGACCAATATCTGGTAGTCTATCCACCATTCTTGCTCAACACACAATGGGAGCATCCCGTGGGCGGAGCGATGGGCGGAGCCTCCTCTGCCTTCCCCATTCCCTCTTGGATACAGGACGTACAGTATCTGGCCAACGTCCATCGGCCGAAAAATAAGATGCTCCAAACAAACAGAGCCTAAACCTTCTTAAAATGCTTTGTTTTAGCCATATTTTCTAAATGTACTAGCAAAATGAAAATACCATAAAATTCTTTCTAATTTCAGTATTCTCTCTTCTCTATAGAAACTTCAAAATTGACAATCATGAGGACATGTAAATGGGGTTGCTTTGCAAGGCGAATTCAGGAATGATGATTATTTTGCGAAGTAGTCTTCTCTTGCAGAGTTGCACCTGTACTGCAGGGAAGCCAAGTTCACGAATTTATCCGAAAGAAATGTCTTGACTACTGTTGATTTTTCGTCGCTTCAACCTGTCTTCAGTGCTTCCGCGTTTCACTGATGGAACTTAGTGTTTATTTTGCCTTAAAGCCGTATGACTTGTTTTGATTCAAAATAAGGAGTTGATCTAGCAGGTTATGCATGTTTTCGCTTGTCTTTTTCTTCTGTTTCGTCGGAGTTCTGTTACCTTTACATGATGTAGCAGCAGTGAAAACATCGGGACCATTTTTTTCACTTCGCTATTGCAAATATGATCACAAAAGCTGCAGTTCACATCCATTTGTATCAGATTACTATAAATTCATTCTTCTGCATACCTTTCATAACCTTATCAATGTGAGCACTACACAAATAAGATCGTTTTCTATTCAAAGGCTTACAAACGCTTACCAGAAACTGAGGCAAATACGTTATGAGAATTTAGTCTCGCTAAAGTCCACCTAACGCAAGTATGCAGGGATGGGCTACCTTGCAAAATACTTGTCATTCCTGGATCCGCTTGAAAAATAACTCGAACTACATAGGGATTCATCTCAGAAAGCGATTGTCAAGTTCTTAGAAAGAAGAGAGGATATTGAAATAAGAAATAAACATGATATTATCGTTCTGATATACTTCTAAGAAAATACAGCAAAAACAAAGCTTTTCAACAAGGTTTAGACTCTGTTTGTTTTGAGCATCTTATTTTTCGGCCGATGGACGTTGGCCAAATACTGTACGTCTAGATACAGGGGTCAAGGGCTTTGGTTCCTCCTGCACCACCTCCGGACGGCACAGCATCACTTTGGCAAAAGCATGAACATTTTCGTTTTTTCGATTTCTAGCAGAGGAAAAAATACGGCAATAGCGTACATATATGTCTTATGTGGATAGTGTTTACGTGAGCAAGTTAGAATTTTTGCAGGATTCTTATGAACTGAGTTATGATTTTTCTCGATTTTCGGGTAGTTGAATCTTTTTAGTTTTTGGCACGAAACTCGAGGTGGATCAGAGCTGTTGCAAAAGCAGGACTGCCATCTTGTAGAGCTTGTTTTGCTCTATCGAACGGTACCTTGAAAGCTATCCAGGAATGAAAAGTGTATGACTTCTTGCTTTTGAAATTCAAAACGGACATTAATTTCCGGACAACCTAATAAATTTAATGATGAAAAATGAAAAATGAAGAACTTCTCATTGAATAATAAAATAACTAAAGGTAATGGACAAGGAAATGCAATTGTAAGTGTAGTATGGACCAGCAACTTAAAATATGCTAATTCTCTTCTTTTTGAGATAATAAAACTCGACATTAGCGCAGTTATTTTTGAATGGTTTCTGCACTCAACATGCACTCAAGAAGCAGCCGAGCGCAGCGCTGATCAGCCGGAGCAGCGCGCCTTCGCTGCTCGCTGGTTTTGTCCATACCTAAGCCGCGAGGTATGTATCAAGCCTTACTCGTTTCAACATGTCCCTCCACTTCGCGTGCACCACCATTGTATTATTGCCACTGTAACGAAGGCTGAAGTTAAAAGGCGTCCATGCAACTCCCGCACGGCCCTCCAAAAAAAGGGATATTTAGGAACTTCGTGCGGTCTTGAGCCCCTACAGTGTTATATAAGAGCCGATAGGCAAGTAAAATGCAAAAATCTTGGCAACCGTATTCTGGCGAGATACTGTCTTCAAAGCCAACCATCTTTTGCCAACATGTTGCAAGTTTCAAAAATGTTCTTCCCAAGCCAAGTGTTAGGTATATGTGCCGCAGCCAGAGATGAGCAAGGGTAGCAAGGGTAGGATCCTGGAGGAAAGGTTTCTTAGTATTGCATGGCAGGCGTTGTCGCTTCCAGGAATATGTGCTAATTGTATACCAGCTAGAAGATTCAACGAGACAGTCGACATGCACGCACGAGAGCAGTGGTAGAATGATGATAGGCATAATGGAGATGCAGTCGTCTCCCAGGAGTACACTGGGTGGAACATTACGTACTTGCACGCTTGGCAACCACACTAGTGTTGTAGATAGAATAGATCCTCGATTTATCCCAATGCTCCACCTAATATGCTGCTGGGAGAGGGTGCGGAACTTACCTACCCGAAAGACTTGCCGCAGTGTACCCGTATTATGAGCAGTCGGATACGCAATTGGCATAATGTACAGAGCCTAGCCTGTGTGTATTCTAAGCCCCGCCCCATCCATCGACGCTTTCGCGATGCATCCATCAATCATGGAACCGGAAATCCAATAAAACCACAAAACTGATGTTCAGCAACTATCTGCTCAATTTCGATTAAAATACGGATTTAGAGTTTTTCTGAGGTGCTCTTTTCAGATATCCTATTAGTTTTGCACTGTCTTTTCGTATAGAGTCGAAATTTACTTTGGTGAAATCGACTTTTAGCTTAAGAAATCTCGACAAAAAAGTAAAGCATGCCTTAGGACGCGTGTAAAGCTGCTTTTTCACTGTTTCTGTTCCATGTCTTGGTTTTATGACAAAAAGGTGCAATGTTTGGACGGGGCTTAGCTTAGCGCTGTATCCTTAGGAGCATATGGAATCAGCGAGCTCGCTATGCTTGATTATACCCCGCAAACACACACCCATGAGGTGCGAGAATATTTCGGGTAGGTAAGTTCTGTCGCGGATTCGCGACTTCCTTCAAAGGTCGCCGCCCTCCGCCTCGCAAAGGGTCCCAAAACGCCGTCCTCGCGCTGTCCCGCCTCTCACCTCTCTTACCTTCGCAGCGTTCAAATAAGTCACGTAGTCAGTCTTCGCAGCTGCCTTCACAGTGAGCGGTCGGGTTTCCATTTCGTCTCAACTATCGATCGATCCAGCGCTACCCCAACTCTCGCGTGCTTCCATCTACGCCACAGAGGACTGGCTCCCACGCTACGAGGTAACCCCGAGCGCGATCGCACCTGGCACACGCCGGCGACACCGCCTCGGGGGGCGTTATTGCCGGCCCCTAGGTAACATCTGGCTGGTTGTTGCTCATCCTGTGTGTTTGAGTGTAGGGATTTTATTGCGGATAAATGGTGGGCACTTTACAGGTGTGATGTGTGTTGGAGCGGTGACCACGGCTCGGCTGTGGCTCCGGAATATCGGGTTGTCATTTCAGGTGTATTTCGTAATCTTGCCTAGTAGGTAACATCTGTAGGAAGGCTGGCACGATGCTAGCTAAGTGCCACGGTTATGAGTGCACGCCCCAGCTGTCGGTGGCTGGAAGCACAGGTCGATCCCAGGTGACGAGTCGCTACTAAGCAGGCTGGTGGCAAGGGCCCCTAAGAGCGTAAGGAGTACCCACGTGGCAGGCACAACGAGCGTCTCACAGGTAGCCACCACACATCGTATGGTTCACTTATTCACGGTGCGGACCCCTGGCTCCCCTCGCCAATGCAGGAGAGCAATTATACCACTGACGTTGGGAGCTGGGGGCCCAATCCGCGACAAGTTCCGTTCCCCGCTGGGAGACTATGGTAAAATTTGAAAAAGCAGTAGTGCTTGTATCACGTGCTTATGGCATGACCTTTACGGTACTTCGGTGAGAGTAGATATACGATAAAGTCGACAATGGCTTATCGATACAGCATTCTTTCCAATAGCGGATTGGAATTATAAAGTTCGACGTTCTATCTAAAGGCTGCTGCATGACGAAGGCGCAATGGCGATAAGTTGAGCGGGCGCGAACGCGACGCGCGCGTATCCTCACCGTTGTAGATCTCGCACCTCATGCGCTCTGCGGCTAATAAAGCCGCGTTCGCGCCCGAAGATATTGCGCCTTCGTCATGCAGCAGCCTATACATGGTGGACCAGCCACTGTTTCAAGCCAACATACTTGATTACAAAACAATGTAGTTCACTTCACTGAATAAATCATTGCTCTACCCAAAAGGAAGAACATTTCTGCAACAGTCAATATTGTTCACAATACGGATGAACGATAATTTCACCTATTTACAACGGTACTTTGAACAAGACATGACGTCGATTCATTGACCGCACGGACTGGGCATTACTGCGGAAAACGTGCCGCGCGTGCCCCAGTACAAATTTGCCGTAGTGCAAGTCGTGCTCTCGTAACATTTTAGCCGCGCCGCGCGTGGTCCGCAATGTTTGAGTAGTCCGTGCGGTCAACGATTCGACGATAAGAGATCAAGTTGCTCTGCTAATGACGACAGGTAAGGCTGGTCAGATGGTTGCTGTTTCAACGGTTGGAAAGGGGGTTCTCCCTCAGCTCTTGTCAAATTGTAAATTGCGGCGCTTCCCAAGATGATTCGCGCAACCTTAGGATGTCTGAAACACTGACATTAGTCAATCGCAAATGAAGTTTGGAAAAACAAGCAAAATCACAAAACAAACTTTATCTCAGTTGTCAAAATCGGGAACTGTAGCTTCCAGTTGGAAATGGCTTCGTCAACAATTTGATGTGCTTTACGTAATGTTACAGCCATAGCATCATCTGACAAAAAAGGGATGGATATAAACATATACCGTGAGTTCCTTACCTTTATCACAATCCCTTTCACCACGGGGTGTGAGCAAGAATGGTTCGCTTTTGTAAGCATCACTTCCTATGAGACAACCTCTTTTCGTTCCGTTTTTGAGCTGCTCGCAAAGTAAACTTCGCTTAAAAACTAATTCATCATCCATCTCGGATCTTGAAACAACCCAACGGAACTTTCCCTCATTATCCACAACAACTCCCACATTCAAAGCTTTAGATCCATTTCTGGAAAAAAAAAATATTTGCTATGAACCGAAAAACCGAGTCTGAAACCTGGTCTGCGTCATAATAGTGGTTCCACCCAAACAACCGACTATTCCAAACAAGCCAGTCATTTCGAAGAATCTAAAAAAGGACTTATGTAATCTGCAATTCAAGAAGACTTTCTTATTTAATAACTTGACTAGTGCAGATCAATAATGCCGCAATCCAATCATAAAGGCTGAGTCCGAGCAAGAACATTTTATGTACTTTATTTACCTGGGCCTATTCGTTATGATCAACGCGAAATTCATACTGGAGAAAGCGAAAACGGCGAAAAAGTACTCCAACAAGCAAGAGAAATTAGCAGGAGGGCGGGCCTTCCACTCTGCGAAGTCACTCTCGCAACTTTTGAAGCGATTTTCTCGCTTCTGATAGCCGCTCTGACATTGCCAACGCCCAAGCATGAACACGTGACTTGAAGCCGGAACCTTGAAGATCGCTCCGGAAGTTGAGAGCGTAACTTCTGCGAGTAAAAGCCCCGCACATTTGCTGGTTTCGTTTTTGCATTAGAGCCCTTTTTGCCGTTTTTGCATTCGACAGTATGGGTTTTCGGAATCAGCATAACGGACAGGCCCAGGTGAGCAAAAATCACGGTCCACTCAGATTCTCGACTTCTATGTTTTTGTCTTTCCGGGGCCTATGTCTCTCTTTCCAAATATGAAGTCGAAAATCCGCCAGAAACCGCGAAAACCCCGATAATCCACCCACGGGGATGATCGAGAAAGGTGATTGGTTGGGCACGCATGGATAGGCAGGCATTACTGGAGGGGTTCTCTGCGTTCAAATTGGCGAAGGCGTTTAAATTTGTAAAAGGCACGAGCCAAAACGGATGCGGTTCTACGGGTGAATGGCTGGGTTCATACTGATCCCTGAGTTTCAGAACAGTTCCAGCACAGCGCTCGAACTATGCGCCGTGCTGGAACTGTTCCGGAGCTTGAGAACCCAGCCTATGACCGCTCTTTGAGAGCACGTTACGCATGCAAGACTGAGGACGTTTGCAGCACTTACAGGAGAGAGAGAGCAAGATATAAAGAACACCGCAAAAATTCTTCTTTGAAAGCGCGGCGAACGCCACGTCACTTCATTCAAGTTTCATTCCCCCCCCCCTTGTCACTGTTATACACTTGGCATATATTAATTCTTTTGTAAAATATTAGGTGTGAGCAGCAGCTGCAAGTAAATTCTTTGGAGGGAGGAAAGGAGACAAAAAAAATTGGTAAGAGTACTTACTTCGTTTCTATTCTGTTCCTTTCATCATCTGCCGGCCAGTTTATGGCCGATCCTGACCATCCAAATAAAGCATCCAACACTTCATCGAAGGTTTCACTAGGAGCAGTTCCAACTGAAGTCACTGCTCCGTAGACGTGACTTGCACCAGCAAGCAGATCCAGAGCTGCAGCAATTTTGACGGCTACGGAGCTCTTCGTCGCAGAACGCGCCCACAGAGCTTCACACAGAATTTTAAAGGTACGCCGTGACAATCGGAAACGCTCGCGAAATTGCTCATTGGTTAGTGCATCCATAATATCCTTATTAAGCAGAACTACCCGTGACCTCGTACTCATAAGTTCGCAATTGTCTTTCCTATAAATAGTTCAAAAACAAAAAATTATCCAAAACTGCGAAATGATGAGGAAAATTACCCTGGTTTGACATCATTCTCACTTTCAGCAAGCTCTTCATCTGCAAAAAAATTACTTGTTTGATAAAATCAAGATCATCCAGTCGAAACCTCCGCTATTTTGGTATGAGCAAGCATTGAAAATTTGTCCGTACCTGCAAAGGTGGATGTAGACTCGGAGGCTGTTGAAGGACCTGGTTTAGACTCTGCCCGCTGCAAGAGTAAAGCAGCAGAAATGCCCTCCTTTACCGACAATGATTCGTCTTTCGTTTCGAACAATGGCGATGATGGACCTCCTAAAAAGAAATAGAACTAGTTTCGACGACTTCGTACTTCGAAGCATTTTGACTGATGCGGAAATACAAGTTTGGACTAGTCTAATCGGACTAAGCAGGAGATATAGCCTAACTGCACCATAAACACTCAAGCAACACTTTTTAGAGGTTGAAAAACCTGGACAGTAAAAGTCATCACTCCTTACAAGGGAAGGATACTCGGTAACCATGGCCTTTTGAAAAGATATGCATTCCATTACACTCATCTTGGAAAACCGATTCCAAATTTGACTTCCGTTTTTGCTTATCGTGGGCGCCCAAGGGAAACACGATCGGACGCAAACTCCGCCGGTGGTGGTGTTAGTTTTTAGTGCGGTAGCTTCACAAGACGATACAGGTGTGGGTTCAAATCCTTTTGCGCTTGCTAGTTATGTACTGCCTTCATTGAGCTTTTTATTCATAAGTTAGGTATCCTCGAGGTGAATGCATGCCCTAAATCTTCGTAAAATATGGAAAATTGAAAAAATGACTATTATTGCGCTAAAATGTATACTCGTTCCATGCTGCGCTCATTACGAGCAACTTCTATGTTTCAATCACATTTTCATAGATTTCCATCACTGTGTTCAATTTTTTCGGCATAACTGAAATACATAAAAATCACTCTTATCAAATTTTCAAAGAGTGTGGGCATTTCTCTACCTCAAGAACGCCTAATTTTTAGAAAGAAGAATTAAGATAAAAAATTATAAAGAAGCTAAATAAAGAAATAAAGAAGCTTAACTGAGGTAATGCAAACTTGAAACAAGAGGATTCGACCCCACACCTTTTAATATCTTCTGAGCTTATCGCGCAACACTACATCGAAGCGCATTGGCGGCATTGGCCGTTCCAATCGTCCCTTGCGCGGCTAAACTTGGTGCAAAAATCACTCGTAACTTCCTCCACAAAACGCTTACTAGAAACGGAAGTCAGATTTGGAATCAGCATTGCAAGACGAGTGTAGAAGTAACGCCATCTTTCGAAAGGCCACTCACCGCATATCATTCCCTTATTACTGTTACATGGCCAAAGAAATTGAAAAGTAAAAATTCGCATCTTTTTAAGACATAAAATACGCTTCTTTAAAGAGATAACAACTTGAATTAGACATTCCAACTATTCAACAACAAACCTACTTTCCAATAAAATCTTCGTAGTGGGTAGCGCTTCCTTAGTTTCAAAAGTCTCAACATTGTTGGGTACGCAATTTCTCTGCAAGATAAGGATTCGTAGGTATGAACAAGTCTGAGAAGAAAATCTCACTCGTCTCTTAGGTTGAGTATACATTTCCTCAGCATCCCAACCATCAGCGTATTCGTATCTTGCCAAACAGTCATTGAAGAATTTTATGACCTCATGGGATTCCAAGACAACTCCTTTCTGGAACAGGAATTAATCAACAGATAAAAAGACTGTCTCAACGTTCTTCTCATAGGTAACGCTTAGCAAAATCAGTGCGAAAACCCCTACAACAAATGTGGCCTGCTCATGTCCAGTTTGGGGAGTACACAGTGCACCAACGAAATCAAAATGCAGATTGGAAACAAATGAATAATGTCTTACATCAATGTGTTCTGCAAAAACGAGTAGTTCTTGCATGAAGGCTTCGAGGATTTCAATTGAAACATTGTGCAAACCATGGGCTGGAAACTTTCCGTGCATCTTTTTTATTTTTTGACCAATAAAAGCTGCCTGAATAGAAAAAAATCAACATCCGCGTACCGAGAATCAAGAGCTAACCGCTTTGACATAATGTTCTTGGCAGATGTAATGAGAACCACAGCGAGTTGTGCTATAGAGCTCGATGGCCTGATCGACATCGATACGATCTGCCATGTATAGACTTGCCAGGAAGATGATGCTCTGATCTTGCTCCTTGGCTGTCCTTCTTGCTTCCGACATAGGACGCTCACGACCACATAATGCACATGTGAAATCTGTACACCTAAAATAGGCGTTTATCCGAACGACAAGAAACCAAGCTTTTTTCACTTACACTGGCTTTTTTGTTGGATCTGATGGGAATTTACGTCGTTTAGAGAATATTCTTTCAATAGTGCTGTCAAATAATGCGGCTGTGCCTAAACTAATGTGCCCATAGAAAAGATAAAGTATGGAGCATATCTACCTCAAGCGTTAACAAAGTAAACATAAATTTTGGCACTGAGAAGTTTGAAATTAAGCAATAACGTATCGAGAACTTCGCACATCATTGAAAAGGCTTTATAATTCAATACACGCCTGAATCAATCTGTTTGCGTTGCTGCCTTTAGGGCCAGACATACATTACGCGATTTCATCGCCTCGCGACTCTCCCTACACGACAAAGGTTAGGAGCTCAATGCATGCCGATTTCTTGCATTTGGGTTGTGTTAGTTTTCCGACACGACCGATCGAAACTAACTATCACAACTGAAAAGCAATACGATCGGCATGATATAGACTCGTGACAGTGGTCTCGTAAGGAGAACCGCGAGGCGAAAAAATCGCTTGGTATATAACGGCCCTTGATAAAACATTCAAGCTGTGCACAAAGTTCCCAATCTCGCGCCATGCTAGCGCCGCGCAGGAATGTTGTCAAACCATACGGGGTGGTGTAAAGTTGGTTTCAGTATGGCGCTAGCACGGCGCTGGCACGGAGCACACGAGCTACTGTGAACGCTGGATTTTACACATACAGGCTGTATTACAACCTTCGCGTGTTTCGGCTATGCCCGACCCGTTGAGCAATTGTCGTAAGCGTGTAAGTATAGGATAGGAAATATCCACGCACCGAGGTCTCACCAACTGCCGTCTGTTTTATGTTGCCACTATATAACAAAGTAAGCATTCTCGATCGAAGTTACTTGTCCAGAAGAAATATATATAGTTTTAAAAAACATCGAACGTTGATTCCCAAGCTGTCTTCGGTTTTCACTGTGCGCCTCTGCAGTCATGAATAGTTTTGCGAAAAAATGAACGCGTGACTAAAGCAAGATCATTGAAAACCGCTCGGATGAGCCAGCGTTGGCTTTTAGGGCCCCTCTGTGCAATGAGTACTTATTGACTAGTGTACTCACACTCGCCAATGCTTTATGTGAGCGCTGAAGAGACCGTAACAACTGCTATTATTCAGATCATGCATTCGTTTTGCGATCCAAAACACTTATAACTCGGCGTCCAAAGGTGCGCAGCACATATAGAGGACTGCTGGGACACTGCCTTTAGAGGCAGCACCCCAGTATCGTATTAACAAACGACTGGAGGGGGATTCCCTAGCCATGAGTGAATCATTTGCGCTGCCCTTGAGCGATGCCTTAGTCATGTCCCCAAAATTAGTTTTTACGTGAGTTACCCATGTACCCAGATTTGCGATTCTGCCTTTGATTAATGTGGTGTGACCTCCAAATCACATAGCGACTGATCGCGCGAAGTATGCACAAGGACTAGATAGATTGGAATGACTAGGATGGAATGATGACTTTGAGAATGGTGAGATTGAACAAAATAAAATAGAATAAAATACTGTTATGCACCTGGAGCAGGATAGAGTCCCCATGAAGAAATATCTGCTTTCTTCCCTTTCACCTCCGGATAATCGTGAAAGAGAGCTACATCGTTATACCCCTCTAATCTCTGAAAATGTGTTGACCTTTTGAAAAGAAACGAAGAAGAAGGTAATGCTCACCAGAAATTTGAAAAGTTTCTTACATTCCCAGACGTTATTAACACCCACAACCACGTGAGAAAAAGATCTGCAAAAACAGATGTTTTCACCATCCTCGAATTTAGGCCAATTTATGATGCACTTCCCTGATGTTTGCCATGAAACTTACAAGGGAACCGTGTCGAGTCGAAGTGGCCTTTCCAGATGAGACCCATACTGCTTTGAAGAGTATTAAGCGGTGATTCCAAATCTGCCTTCCAAATCTGCCAAGCGCCTCTGGACGCCGAGTTATGACCGTTCTTCGGAACGAAAAATCAATGCAGAATTTAGGTAAAATTGATTGTTAGAATCTTTCCAGCGCTCAGATAAAGCAATGTTAAGTATTAGCATATTAAATAAAATGTATCCATTTTATAAACAGCTCTGATACTTGACGCTGGACCATTTGAGCAAATTTGGGCAATTTTGCTTCAGTTTTGCGTTCTATTTTTTGACCTGAAAAACGAGCATAACTCGGCGTCCAGAGGCGCTTGGCAGATTTGGAAAGCAGATTTGGAATCACCGATTGATGCTCTTCAAAGCAGTATCGGTCTCATCTGGAAAGGCCATTTCGACTCGACACGGTTCCCTTGTTAGAAGAGTGACGCATCACCTTCGATTCAGAAGATAGTGAGACTACCTGGGAAGCTCTCTAAGGTGATTGCCTGACACCGCGATCATGGCCGTCTTCGTAGGCCTTGAATAGAGCGGAAAGCCGTGAAAATGTAGACCTATAATGATCTAGATCTAAGCACTCTAGGATTTCTATAGTCTGTAAAGTGGACGCTTACGGTTTATATAGTTGATTCGTTGACCGCACGGACTGCACAAACACTGCGGACCGTGCGGCGCGTCTGAAGTGTTGCGAGAGCGCGAATTGTATAATGGCGAGTTTCTGCTGGAGCAAGCACTCTTCCTCTCGGCGTGCGTAAACGTGATGTCCAGTTCGTGCAGTTAACGAATCGATGCTCACTTTGTCTCAGTTAAAAGGGTATATTGCATGTAAAAAGGTCAGCGGCTTATGCAGCTCCATCTCGCGCGGCCGCCTTGTTTGACCTTTCGCCGCGATTGCGAACAAAAAAAAAACATTTCCTTCTGGATTCTCTTATATGCCCACTTTCTTCACCTGCTGCTCAGGTATGGGAAAATTCCTAGAGAATCGAACGCGGCACAAAGATAAGCGAGGCGGCCACGAGAGAATATGAAGCACGAGCCGGTAGTCTTTATCTAGGTACAGTCGAGTAGATCGCTCAGTGTAGTGTGCTTGCGGTGCCGAATGGTGCAGTGAAATTTGCGCAATAAAAAATAGCCCTATCTATACCAGTGATGCATACAATTTGCGGGCGCATTAACCGACATTACTGGCGTAGCTACAGTTCATTCATAGACTGCACGGATTGGACATCACTGCGGAGCACGCGCCGCCAGGTAGAACGCTTGCCCCAGTACAAATTCGCCATTGCACAAATCGTGCTCTCGTGTTAGTTCCTAATTATGTTCTTCGTATTTTGCTCTGGTTATGGCACGCCGTGCGTAATGAATAAATAAATAAATAAATAAATAAATATATAGATTCACCCGCGCAGCGCGTGTTCCCCGACGTTTGAGCAGTCCGTGCGGTCAACAAATCGCAAAAATTTTGAGAAGCCCCCCTAAAATTTTTTCGGGGTGCGTGGCGTCAGCCACGCACCTTCATTCGAAAAAATTTTGCCGCCCCCCCCACCCGAGCCGAAATCCTGAGTACGCCACTGGTATCTATGTATAGCCGATTCGTTGACCGCACGACCGGACATCACTGTGGAGCACGCACCGCGAGGTAAAACGCTTGCCCCAATACAAATTTGCTATTGTACAAGTCGTGCTTTCGCAACTTTTCAGCCGCGCCGCGCGTGGTCCGCAGCGTTTGAGCAGTCCGTGCGATCAACGTATCGACGATATGGTGTGCGTTAACGGTGTATCCGTAACTGCGGTGAAAGTGTAAAAATGAACACGGGTGCCTGTTTGATAGGCTAAAAATGAGCGGGTGCCCGTTTGATAGGCTTTACAAAAGCTTAGAACCCGACCACACAGGGGTTTTCAATCTGAGTGTCACGGCCGACGTGGTTCACCCCCTCAAGAGCCGCCTCGCTTGGGTCTCTCACGTGGTAATACACTACCGCACCCGATAACGCGAAGGCCTTAGCGGATGCGGCATTGTGCCACGTGAGAGGCCCATGCGAGGCGGCTCGCAAGGACCTGAGCCACGTCGACCGTGACACTCAGATTGACAGCCCCTGTATTTACCGCTGTCACCAACGCTACTGCTGTTATTGTTCTACCGCTGTCGTCGTTTTTAATTGATGGAGAAATGAGACTGAACTGTTGGTCATATTATCATGCACAGTAACAAGGTAATGCATGAATTCGCGAAGTACATGCCTCAGGAAATTATGTGATCAATACCAAGAAGTTATACTTATTCCAGACCAACAAAGTGAAATCACTGAAAAACTTTATCAGCATTTTATGCAAACACTATAACTCCAACAAGCAACATCAAAATCATCGATAGTGCGTGAAAAAGTCTCCACGTGCGGCATAACATTTTTTCCATCGAGTAACTAAGTCATGAATACCAGATACATAGAAATGTACAGTCTCCAACTGAAAATAGCTGTTAATACACTTGGCTAATTGAGAATCTCCGTAACAAGATTGCTTCGCTACATAGTCTCGAATACGCTTGGCAAAGTGATATTCAGTGGGAAGGAGATCATAGCAGATTTCTGGTAAAGGAAGGACTTCATATCCGTTTTGATGGAGCGCTTGAAAGGCACCCAGGGACATGTATGGTAATCGACTATCGAGCAACATAAGCAGTCCACCTCTTTCATTTATCAACGTACGATATCGTTGATATCCAAGCAGCTTTTTATGCATTGCATTCAGATGACTGATGTAGAGATTAGCTGTCATTTTGTAGCCTGCTGGTAATAAGAAATAGTGTACCACACCACATGTGGTCCACCATACACCCAACATTGCATTCTCATTATTGTAGACAACTGGGTAAGAGCCATCAACGCCGCCTAACCATATTTCTCCATATGTTACTATCCTCTCCATGAAATCATGCTCTCTGCTTTGTCGCATTATCAACGCTGAACAGGTTTCCAAACGTTCTCTTTGCTGCCGCTCACTCAGTATTGTTTTCTTGAAATTTTTCGGAATTCCACCCATTTGAAGGCAGGAGATAACTGTATCGACAGATGCCCCAAACTCCTCTGCAAGTTCGGAAACTGGTTTAACCGGGTCCGATCTTAGTAAGGCTTTTATCAGCTTTTTATCCTTTTGCGATATAGGCGTTGCTCCTCCAGCCACAGATTGAGCAGACTTTTCCCGAAACTTCTTGTACCACCACTCCATCCGAGCTTCATTGACTACTCTATCGCCGAACGTCGTTACAATCTCGGCAGTAGCAGTTGGTACACTGAATCCTCGCTGGAAGTGGAACAGCGCTATCGATTGTAACTCAGTAGTCCTGAAAATAAAAACGTCATACCACTTCAGGCTACCCGACACGTACAGTCTAGTGAATTTGAGGGTTGAGATAGTGCCCACGGTGACGTAAACATTTATACAACAATGGTTATGCTAGTGAATGCACTCAACTTCCCTGCGATTTGCGCATGCGGACGACTATGCAAAAATCTCCAGCGTTTAGACCCTGCCCATGCGTGCGCCGACGTCGCGCTAGCGAAGTTCCGATGCCATTCTGGTCCCCACGCGGGCGCAAGCGTATTGATCGACCAGCCTCCGCCGACACGGTGCCTGCGTGGCACCAGAAGGCAATTTTGGATACCGTCTTATGCGTACAGTTGTGAACAACGCAAGAACGCTATATCTCCTCAAAAATACTAGGCTATAGTACACTAGGATCCAAAAGGCTATCAGTTTAAACGCAATGCTCAATAAGCTAATTTATATGATGCACACAACTCACATGTCGTTTAATTGCCCCGAAGATGCCTCAACTGCACCGTTTTTGGAAGTCGCTCCTGGAATGGAAGGATTTAAGATTTGCTAAGTGCTAGTAATGACTGACCAGAAGTTCCCAGAGACCCATCTACATCTGGAATAGGTGGCTGTTCCATAAGCGCCACAGCCGAAACTTCCTGATGTGAGGCAGATTCGCCAATATATTCTTCATCTACGGCTAAAATGGTTCAGATGAAAGCAACAACTCAAAATGCTAAACACTACAAGCAAGCGAACTTAAGTGAAAGATACCAGAAAAAGCTGCTCGCTCCTCATGGTTGTTGGGTTGTATACTGCCTTGTACAGTGTCTTCCTCGGGCTTCACTGGAGAAGTTTCATCACAGATATCAATCACATCACGCACATCAGTCTCAGAAACCTGAAGTTGTTCATAATGGTGTGCAGCTGATTACACAACGGAAATTACATACTCCAATCTGTTGGTTAGTACTGAATTCCTCTTGCTTCTCCTGATGCGTTTGCCCACTTACAATCTCTTTGAGTTGTGCAGAAAATTGCCTGATGTTTGCATGACCGATGCGGATACATCGCTGAAATACAGTAAGCTCCAACCGCTAGATAAAGTCTTTTCGACGATTGCATGAACTCCTGCGTTTGCCGCCTCTAGGTTTGCGTCTGCATATGCGCATTGTCAGAGAGATTCAAGAGGTTGAAGAGAAAGCAGACAAGCAAGCGATAGACGTGACGCAGTGCGGCGCAGCACCCCAATTCTGGCCTAATCTGGATTGGAAAAGATAACTCTACTAGTAGCTCACGCCTTTCACACGCACTATTAGCTGTATAAGCAGACTTCTTCGACTCGCGCGCGATGGTCCGATAACCAGCGATCCTGACGCTCTAAAGACAGTATCCGGGCAAAAATTGATTTTGAGATTTTGTGCTTACATGGGCCTATTCGCTATGCTAAATCCGAAAATCCACATTGGAGAGTGCGAAAACGGCAAAAAAGGACTCTGGCGCAAGAGGGAAATTGAAGGTGGACGGGGTCTTCCTCACTGTGATTTCACGCTCCCAACTTCCGGAACCGCCTTCTCGGTTCCGAATTCAAGTCAAACGTTCGCACTTAGCCGGTGGAGATGTGAGATCCGCTAGAGAAATTAAGAAGAACGTTCAGCTGGGAGCGTGAATTCACAGTGTGGAGACCCCGCCCACCTGCTGATTCCCCTCCTCCGTTAGAGCCTTTCTTCGCTGTTTTCGCGCTTTCTAGCGTGGGTTTTCAGATCCACCATAGCAAATAACCAGAATGAGCACAAGACCTCAAAATCGCTTTAATCCACATTGGAGAGCGCGAAAACGACAAAAAAGGACTCTAATATCTGCTGCATGACGAAGGCGGTTGCCCAAATAGGTTGAAGGCTGTTGCACACGCGGCGCGCGCCCGGTGGTTGACAATTGCCCGCGCGCCGCGTGCGCGACAGCCTTCAACCTATTTGGGCAACCGCCTTCGTCATGCAGCAGATATTAACACTGGAGGGAAATCAGCAAGTGGGCGGGTCTTCCCCACTGTTAGTGCACGCTCCCAGCTTCGCGTTCGATCTTTTTGATTCCGGTTTCAAGTCATTCGTTTGCACTTGATCGGTAGTGATGTCAGGGCGGCTAACGGGTTCGAGAAAATTGCTCTGGAAGCTGGAAGCGTGAATTCACAGTGGGGAAGACCCCGCACTTGCTGATTTCCCTCCAGTGTTAGAGCCCTTTTTCGTCGTTTTCGCGCTCTCCAATGTGGATTTTCGGATTCAGCATAGCGAATAGGCCCGGGTGAGCACAAAATCTCAAAATCGAGTTTTTGCCCGGACACTGCCTTTAAAGGCACCGTCCACCCAGAATCTCGACTTCCATGTTTTTGTCGTTTCAGGGCCTTCTCATGTCCCTGATTCCAAATATGAAGTCGACAATCCGCGACAATCCCGAAAATTCCCATTCCGGAAAACCCACAGACCGGCTTTTCAGGACGGTGATTGGATGAGCGCGCATAAATGGGCGGGCATGGATGGGGAAGGGCGGGCATGGATGGGGGTCCTCGTGCATCTTCGCTATTCCAAAGCGATTTTCTCGCTTCCGAAGCGGCATTTTGCGCCGCGACTTGGGCATTGGATTGATAGGGGGCCCTACTGTTATATGCTGCCAAAAGCTCAAAACCCTCAACTTAGGGTGGACGGTGCCTTTAAGGAAACCCCAATCGGTCTTTGACTGCAAGAAAATAATACGAAATCATCCCTAAATTTTTGAGCATTGAAAGGGCTATGTTTTACTTATCGTGCTTATGTTTCCGCGCCGCCACCTTGCAAAACTCAAAAATCAGAGACAAACATCGTCGTCCACAAGTATCGTCGACTCATTGTCCGCATGGACTGCTCAAAATTTGCGGACCACGCGCGGCGGGATGGGATGTTGCGAGAGCACGACTGGTACAATGGCGAATTTGTATTTGAGCAAGCGTTTTACCTCGTGGCGCGTGCTGCCAACAGATCGACACTACTTTGTCTGAACGTTCTCATTTCTCCAAGCAAGCGTGGCGTAAGGGATCCGCTGGACTGCAACTATACGTCTCTAATCTATCAAGTGATAATTACTTTGGTACTATCCGATGTGATACACTAACGGAAGCAGCTTTCACATGGAAACAGAGTTTTGAATGCTTCACGACGTAGACGGAAGTATACCGTTTGACAGCCAAGTCCTTCAATAATGAGCGTAAAGACAGTGTCCAAGCAGATTTGGGAACACCTCTATTCCAACATTTTACTGAAGAGGGGTCTCCAAGCAAGCTATACTCCCATTGCGACTGCAAAATATTGCTGGAACGAGAAAATCCTTCAGAAGTTCGAACATAGCCCATCCTGTATCCAGTCTGTGCTTGACAGAACAGGAAAGCGTGGTGGGAGACTAGTGCAGCCAATCACAGCGTCGCGGCCATGTCTCGCGTACGAATTCCTGCTTTGGTATGGACGAGACTGAATTAGGGGCGACGATGTTCGGATTTCTGAAGCGATTTCCAGCCAATATCTGGTGTCGCAATCGCAATCTCGCATGGGGAGCCCGCTCTGGTATATGTTGAAACTGAGATGCTTCCACCTCTGCCCGAACACTGCTTATAAGAAGATTAATCAAAAGAATGGTCCTGGCAGTCTCGCCCTTGCACCAACTTTCGTACAAAAAGGCAAACTTGGACAATGGCAACTCCTCGGCACAGAGGCAGACTCAACAACGTAGAAGTTCCATGAACGTAAGCAAAATCCAAGACTAACTAACACTCAAATGGTAAGATTCGTGACTCACGGTGAGGATCTGCTCTGCCGTAGTTTGAATCAATTTTTGGCGACGTATCAACTCTTCAACAGGAACATCGTAAAGCCATTCGCTTAGATCCTCTAGCCGTAATTGTTTATAGTCATTAAAAACACTCGTTCCCTGAAAAAACAATACTTGTCTTTTCCTAACTGTACCACACTAGATTGATTAATCTACAGTTTGACAGTGGTAACAATTTGTTGTCAATTACGCTGTGGCGAACACACAGCAGTCCACGGCAGAACAAAGTCGACTGTCCAAGAACGTCCATATTGCTGTAGGCTGACTGCGCAGCTTACAGCGGCTAAACGCTCAATATCAGGGCTCGGCACGAGCTGGCACCAGGGAATTTTGAAAACGAAGTCCCCTTTGAAATTTGCCAATTTTTACGAAGTCCCCCTTGACTTTTGGGAAATTTTACGAAGTCCCCTTTGATCCTCAACGATATCCCCCCTAAAATCCTAAAAAAATCCCCAAAATCCCCCAAAAAACGAAACGTCGACTAAAAAAAAAAAAAAAAAAAAAAGGTCGCCGCCGCCAATTTTCCGTATGTCTTCGCCCACAAAAACGAAACCCCCTTTGCTTTTTGCCCGACGCGTTCGCGCGACCGCTGGTGCAAACGGCTCTGCAATTTAGGAGCCCTGTAAGATTTTAAAGGCACCGTCCACCCAAAATTTCAACTTCCATGTTTTTGACGACCGGTAACGGCACGGCGTTCATTTGGCTGGATTCGCCATGGAGCGCGTTATTGGCACGGAACTTGAATCGTGTGTCCATTCGTGTTCACTTTTTGTTCTTTCATCATTTCTGTTCTTGTTCATTCGTCCCCTCACTTTGTCCGATCAGTACCTGTTTACGCAAGGATTAAATTGCTGGAAACCTCAACCCTTTAATGTAAGCCTGGCAAATGGAGATGAATTACAAACTTTACCTTGCAATTGATAAGCCCTGTGATCTCCTCTACCCAGTGGCGTACCGAGGGGGGGGGGCGGGGGGGGGGGCGCCCCCCCCCCGAGAATGGGTCGCGAAATTTTTGAAAGTTGCTTATAAGAATTATAAAAATGTGCAAATGACTTGTTTATACTTGTAAATAATTAAAATATTTTAAAAATTTTTAAAAATTCAAATTAGCCTTGTAAAAAAAATTTTTTTCGGGGGCGTGGCTGACGCCACGCCCCCTTTTTCCAGATTTTAGGGTTGGGGACCCGCAAAAATTTTGAGAAGCACCCCTAAAAACTTTTCGGAGTGCGTGGCTAACGCCACGCACCTTCATTCGAAAAAATTTTTTGTCGCGCCTCCCCCCCCCCGAGCGGAAATCCTGGGTACGCCACTGCCTCTACCCCGTCGGTCACGCAACAATTCGTGCCCTACAGCTGGTGTATCTATCATGTCGTAACTGAATCCGTGTTTCGCGTAGGGTAAAATGCCAGCGTGGTGGTGCCAGCACGCAAAATTTACAGTGCTGCGAAGAACAAAATGCATTCGCATGTTGGTAAACGACTTAAATCATGAAACGATGCGATTGAATACAACTCCGTGTAAAGACGTGACAGATACAAATCAGCTGTCCGCAATAATCGACGCTCAGCGCGCCTATTACTGCTGTGGAGTATGAACACTGATACTCAGCGCAACGTAGTACAGCACCTTGAGAGCTAGTCAGCTTTTGCAAAGAAGGCACGCCTTCATATTTTATGGTATGCGCATGCGTATCGTAAACAGCTCGATTGGTGATAAGGCCTAGTCACGACAAAAATTTGCGCTCTTATTCGCATCCTTTTCTCCATAGGCAGATAGAGGACGGTTTGACAGGATGATAGTCATTGCAATCAGGCTAGTCCTTGACCCTAGTTCCTATACTCACTTCACTTTCTGAAACGTCATAATTTTTGAGGCGGATTACCGAGTGACGATGAAGAATGTAAGGGATCAACTACTAACTCAGTGATCATTTCAACGGCCCTGCAATAAAAAACGATCCCTCTACACATGTAAGAATTCTGCAGATTGATCATGGAGAAAACGCACATTTAGAACAATTCAAAAAGTGAAGTAGCGGAGAGCTTGTAAATCATTTCCATTTGCCAGGCTTACATCAAAGGGTTAAGGTTTCCAACAATTTAGTCCTTGCGTAAACAGGTACTGATCAGACAAATTAGAGAACGATTGAACAAGAACAAAAATGATGAAAGAACAAAAAGTGAACACGAATGGACAAGAAATTCAAGTAGAGAACGAATGAACAAGAAAAATGATGAAAGACAAAAAGTGTGCACGAATGAACAAAAGATTCAAGTTCCGTGCCAATAACGCGCTCCATGGCGAATCCAGCCAAATGAACGCCATGCCGTTACCGGTCGTCCATGTTTTTGCCGTTCCAGGGCCTTCTCATACTCCTGATTCCGAATATCAAGTCGGAAATCCGCGAAAACCACGAAAAACCCCCTTTTTCAGAATCCTTGAAGCGATTTCTTCGGAAAGGTGATTGGTTAGGCGCGCACGGATGGGCGGGACAAACGTCACGCCTACCCGAAAGGGGAGGAGCCAACGTGGCGAACCGTCACCTGAAGCGATTTCCGAAGCAAATTTCTCGCTTCGGAAGCAACTTTAGGCAGCGCAAGTTGGGCAGTCATACAGTTGGGGGCCCCGCAGTAGGTATCATAATCTCACCAACCCCAATTTGGGTGGACGTTGCCTTTAAGATCGAGTAGAACTGGAAGTAGCCTGCGGAGCGTGCACAAAGCGGCTAAGATGGGAAGCACAACTTGTACAAGCACCTATTTGTAGCAGAAGTTCTGCCGCGCGAAATATTTGTTGCACCGAGCGACCCGACTACCAGTTAAGCCCTAGAAAAAAATATTACGACTGATCTTGCAATTTTGCATTTACTTTATTTATCTACAAAAACTTCCATAACTCCTCGCCCAGAAGCCCGCAGCGGATAACGGAGGTAGATTTGGAATCAGCGTTCCAAGCTCTACAACACGGTACACAGAATGTCCAAAAAGTAAGTATCGTCTGCGCCCAGAGAAATTCCCATGGGTACCACGTCATCTCGCTGCCTTTCGCACTTTTGAACGTGTTAACCTCGGGCACTTTCGTTGAAATTTCAGGAGAAACGTGTCAAAAGAGCGAAAGGCAGCGTCGCACCACGTACGCACGCTGGTTCACATGGGAACCTCTCTAAGGTGCAGACGGTACACACTTTTTGATCGCAAGTAACTCTCTTCCTACAAGGTTTTTTGCTTAGCTTCAAGCACTACTCGGTAGAGCAGGATCTCACTTAGATCTACAGTATGGAGCAAATCAACCATCGCCCTTCATTACTGTAGAATTACTATAGGAAACTTGAAGAGGGTTTTGAGCCGTCAATGTCTGCATTTTGCTTTAGATTTGATACATAACAGGCTGAAAGCTTTATCACTGGACTGAACTAAATCGCTGACTATGAATGTAAAGTTAGCACATTGTAAGACTTTTTTTTATGCCACGAAAACCGCAATAACGTTTTTCAAAATGTTTTTCAAAGATGTGATTAAACCATCTGAAACGCTTCAAAAACTAATAACAATTTGTGCAATGAACTAAGCATGTCTGAAAACACTGGTACACAAGTTTCCACCTTTTTTGATATTTTTTTCGAATGGCCTATTTCACAATGGCGCTCTATGCTGAGAGTTTATACCATAATTCTACAGTAACGTAGAGCGACTATACTGAATCTAAACTGAAGCCTGCTCTACTGACTGATACATGAAGCTAAGCAAAAGACTTCGTGGGAAAAGAGTTATTATCGACAAAAGTGTGTACTTACTTTTGGGACACCCTGTATATCCCACTTTAGAAGGCCATTTCGACCAGTCCTTCCCTTGTTATAGTCGTCCTCACCCCACTAGTCGGTCGGTGGACGAATTCGAATTCGAACTGGAGCAGGCAGGTCGGGACAGAGCACGGCACCTTAGCTCTCCATTCAAATTCACGCTTCACTTTGCGTATTTCTTCGCCATTGCTTAGCAGTTTTTGTATTGTTACAACCTTTTTGACCTATATTGAATTTTTGTAATTGCTGAGCGTTGTCTCCTGCCGCGCTCTGCCGTAACAGGTCTGCTCCAATTCAAATTTGAATTAGTCCACCGACCGACTAGTGAGGTGAGGGCGACTATAGCCAATCGCCTCGACGAGATCGCACAAACTATGCCCAGGGCCTTTATACATGGCCGCACAGGAGAGCCTGTCCGGCCATGTATAAGGCCCTGGGCATAGCTCATGCGATCTTCATAGCTCCAACCCGTGATATGTGAAAGGTTGGTTAGCATGGCCATGACACTACTTAGAAGCGCTTGTATTAGCTGTGCGGCTTGCTGGGATTGGCCACTTTAACTTCTGACCATTCAAAAATATATATTCAATATTTCCTTTTATACTATAAACGAAAACCAAGCCAAACTCACCGCAACGGAAAAATGCCATTTGCACATTTCATAATGATTAACATCACGTAGAGAGGTTCTCTTGTGTTTTATCAGTTTCTTTGCTTGAGTGAGATCACACGTTCCATTGATGACCATACAACTGAGTAAGATGATCCCAGAACGCCCTTCTAGTGATATTCCCAAAAATTCACTCTTGTGTCTATGTGCTGCACACAATGAACATGTTGTCCAGTACGTCATTTGTACATAATGTGACAGCAAAGATGGATTAGTCTCGTTTGAATCAATGCTTGTCTTTTGTTCGAGGTCTAGATCCGGCACCGATGAGCTCGCTTCGTTAATCTCCGAGATCTTCTCCAGTTTGACATTTTGATCAAACTGGGAAGAGGAATCTGCCTTGTATTCCGTGTATGTCTCCTGTTCTACATTTGTAGCTGACTGCGGAGGGGACCCAGCTCCGCCCAATTCCATGTCTGCATTATCTTCAACCGCAGCATCATTATCCGGTTCCAATTTTGCTTCTTGAATAAATAATCCTGACTGCGAAGAGACGTTCGCTCCGGTAGAGTAGACGTCGTCGCTGAAAACAGTGCGATTATTCGTAGGTACAAATGCGCATCGAAGATCATATTTCACGCACAAAAAGATTATTTTCAAGCACAACAAGGCTCAGCAACTTGCGCTCGTAAATAATTTGATATCCCAAAAATTTTGCCGCGACCTGGACGGAAATCCTGCAATTGTCACTGCTTGATCGTTGTAGACCTTGCGTCTAACCATAACTTTTGCGTCCTGTAGCAGCCTTTACACTCGTCTCATGCACTATCTTTTCTGTGAGCGCTTCAGCAGTTGCAAAAGGACAACTGTTTGATATAGCCGAATTTGACTGTCCAAGATATCTTCGCGAGGCGGATGTGCCGATCAAACAGGACAGTTTTTGAAACAGCGATGCAATTCATCCGCAACGTGACGCAGGCCCGAAGCGAGGCGCGCGCTACTCCACAGCATGCTGGGGGACGAAAGGGTTGAGATTGACGTCAAATCTGCTGACCGTACAGTTGGAATCGAAAATTAGTATTCGATTAATTCATATTCGAATAGTCGGATATTAGAAAAAAGTCGAATAAGTGAAAAACCTTTGTTCGACCTACTGGAATATCAAATATTCAAATACTCGGTGATATCCAGTCATTCGATTACTCAAATAGTCAGTATTCGATCAACTTCAGTTCTTCGAATATTCGAAAATTCGAATTTTGACATGTGCCCATGCCCAAATATCCGAATTCGAATAACATGAAAATAGGAGATGGCACGATATTCGTTTGCTCGAAAACTTTTCCACAATTATTCGATATTCATTCATTCTATGGAAATTTCGTCGTTACATCCAGTGGACTGTACTTCCAAAACCACAAAAAAAACGAAAGAAAACCTACTGCACCTTGTCTCTTGCTTGACCGCTATGCTCGCTTGCTTCTCGTTCTCTTCTTTCACAGCTACTCCGTCTACAAAGAAAATTTCAAATTTTTTAATATAATTAGCTGGCATATATGCCAGAATCGCCGCACTTCTGCCATTATAGCACGATAGCAGTGGCGGACCGAGGGGGGGGGGGGGCGCCCCCCCCCCGAGAATGGGTCGCGAAATTTTTGAAACTTACCTATATGGGTTGTAAAAATGTGCAAACGACTTATTTGCACTTAAAAATAATTAAAATAATTTTTTAAAAATTCATTTTTGCCTTATAAAAAAATTTTTTTCGGGGGCGTGGCATCAGCCCCTTTTTTCAGACTTTATTGGTTGGGGACCCGCAAAAATTTTGAGAAGCACCCCGAAAATTTTGAGAAGCACCCCAAAAATTTTTTCGGAGTGCGTGGCTGACGCCACGCACCTTCTTTAGAAAAAATTTTTTGTCGCGCCCCCCCCCCCCCGAAAAAAATTTCTCGGACCGCCACTGCACGATAGGGATCACCACACTCCCCCTTGACTTATAGTGAATACTATCAATTGTTTTCATCGAAGGCAATGTAAAGGCAACAGGCACACTCAGATATAACTCAATTTTACATAAGTTGATGAGGGGCTCATAATCAAGTCCGAGTAAAAGTGTGGCAAACGACGGCCATAGACAAAGATCAGAGACGCTCATATTGAGATTCTATGTTTTGAAAAGAGCGTATTATCATAACTCAACGATTTCTAGCTTCCGCAAATGGAGAAAAAACGGACGAAGAAACAGCGATATGCTTACTATTCGGGGGAAAAATTCTGAATAAATTTTCATTAATGAGATTCACAGCCCCCGATACGCCAAAGGGTTGAGCCAGACTTCGCGAGGAAGCGGCGTACGCGGCGTACACAGCGTACGCTTGGTATATTTCATCATAGGAGCATACGCGACGTACGCTGCGTACGTCGCGTACGCCGCGCAGTCTGGCCCAACCCAAACATATGCGCTTTAGTAAGTGGCAAGCCCAAAAAGTGTGGTGGTCACATCTTTTTTTATGCTTGTGAGCACCCCATGAAAATAAGAACTGGAAAGTTTTGGCTGATGTTTCTGTAAACTTTATGCCAAACAGACTTTTATGGTAGTTCTTTGTTGCCTGACACTTCGATAAGCATCATTTTTCTCGGAGACCTAGAAGAAGATTGTAATGTTGTACTTGTCAATTCGGAAGACCAGCTTCCTTTCACCAGTGGCAGAGCGAGGGGGGCCTCCCCTATCCCTTCTGTGCAAACATCTAACGTCCCAATCAAAATTTGCAAAAATCAGTAGATTCGATGAGATCGATTATTGCAGAGATAATAATTTGTTGATCAGCACGCTCACTTACCTTAATATACCAACTCCCAAGCCCCGTAGCTCAGAGTTTTGAAAAGAGGAAATCGGTATCGATCAACGAAAAGTAGCCTATGACATTCGCCCCGCTCCGAAGTGTACGTGTGCAGAGCGTTATCGGCTCCGAAAAGGAATTTCGAATTCTGCACATGCGTACGTACAGGACGGACATTTGGCTTCAACCTAGCTTTTCAAAGGTTAATGGCTCTTACTTCTGATAGTTTTCCAGTATACTGTACTCAGACAAGGTCCCCACGCCAAAATTACAAGGGAGTTGCTTTGTCATGTGGACTGACAAGTACAAAACTGCAATTTCTTTTCAAACCCCCAAGAAGAAGCGTTAGGCAAAACTCAACCAGAACTATTCAGCACAAAAACAGTCAACGAAAAGCCCATACTGAAAGCACAAAAATATTTTAGGCTTCGTGTTTGGTATACAGATAGCCTGAACCTCGTAACTGGCACAAAAGCTACTCAAACTTTACTCGCTTGCATTTCGGTTAATAGCAGGTGCTGCAGCCCAAAAGTATGTAACCTTCGACTCAACTGGCTTACCGGAAGGCGGGACTTTTTGACCTAATTAAGATCGCTCGCGGCTGCGACGCAGTCTGCGTCTCTCCTTCCGCGTGCTCTCTCATAATTATCTAATCTTAATTGAGTCAAGAAGCCCCCCTTCCAGCCGCCAAGTCAGTTGAATCAAAGGGTAAATATGCTCACCTCGGTTTACATCGTTCGAGAATAAATTATCTTCTCCGTTCGAAAGCTGAGTCTCTTCAGCTGCTTCAATCTGCTCCATATTGAACGGCGGGAATTCTGCAATCTCCCATTCACTATTTTCGACATATTTGGAGAGAAAATCGCCGAAGAATAATATAACATCCTGCGTCACTATGATGTCAGTCTCCTAAATGGTCAACGTTTGGATTCAACTTATCTTGAAGACCCGCGACTTACGGTTGCAGCGTCAACAATGCTATTGAGCTGCTCTTGCAATGTATCTACAATGTCAAGCAGCGTTCCTATAGGTAGACAACACAGTCCAAGCGTAGGAAAATATCCTATCAACTCGCATACCGCTGCTCCTAGATAGGCGCCCTGCAAAGGCTTTTTAGGATAGCTTCATCATCGGATAGCACAACCACAAAGAGAAACAGACAAGTAGTATTACAAATGTTGTAGGGCGCGTCCCGGCAAAATTTCACTTTTCAGTTTTTCACCTTCGGAGCCTCTTCGCCGTGAGAAACTCATATCTGGGCCTTCCAGCGCCTGATAATGGCGAGAATGAGCCTTTTCGAAGTTTTCCAGGTCCGTATTCAGTGAAAATATGCCGGGTCTTCCGCACCTAGCGCCCATTTACACGTATTTAACACTGAATGCGGACCTGAAAAACCTCGGAAAAACTCTTTCGCCACTTTCATGCGACGAAAAGCCAAATATGGATTCCTCATAATGAGAAGGCTCCGAAAAGGTGAAAAACTGGAAAAAGAAATTTTGCCAAACACTGCCTATAACGCACACGATACAAAAACTGCGACTGCATCTAGCAAAGGCAAAAAACTACTGGTTTGTGTACCGTCGCGGCGTGACTCATAAACCTCAAAGAATTCATATGCAACTACTTACCGCATGGATAAAATGCTCATGGCATAAATATCTCTCCTTATTCCGACCACCATCTTGTAGAATAGACTTGGCTGTTTTCTCGTCTACCAAGGCTTGCTTCAGTAAGCAAGCCAACAACACATTAATTCGCCCCGTTTTTGTCGAGACTTTTCGTGCATCCACTTTGAATCGTTCAGATCCACAAAGCTCACACACAACTCGTGTATTTACAAAGTCCTTCAGATATATGCGCTTGATTGACCATAGCTGTTTAACAGCAATCGACTTGAAAACATTGGGTCTGAAAAGGTGAATGAAAAGATCAAAGCGCTTGGAAATAAAAATAACTTGAGCACCTGCGAAGCTTAGTTTTGCGGTCTAAGTCATCACGAGCCAATTCTCTTTCTAAAATTTCATCAATACAGCCAATATGGGTACAGAATCGCGGAATGTGGAAACTGATGCTCACTGCGGCGTAGTGAAACAGACGTCTTTAGAACCCCTGACTTTTTCACTTGACTCGCATCCCTGATAGCACTACGAACAATGTCCTGGAACGCGTTGAACTACTGAGACTAAGAAGTTATGATCTTTGTGATAGAGATGAACATAAAAAGAAAAACAAATAAATCCTATCGCGGAAAAAAATAAAATCCACTCACCATTATTGCTCCATTCTTATCTTCTTTGCAGGCCTTCAGCCTAGCTGCCAAATTGTACTTGCGCTCATTGCAATTGTAAAACTTGTCCAAGATAGCCATATTGAGATTAAAAACCTCGCATTTCTGAAGAGCATTAATGATTGTCGAAATCATCGCAGAAGAAATGTGTTCAACTGCTCCTCCCAAGACTGGTTTGATACAGTAATTATTCCGTATATCAACAAACTACAGACAAAGTAAATGAAGCTTACAGATATTTCAGCTTTCTCTTGTAGCCTCAACGCACAAGTATTGATATGGTTGAATAAATCAAGTTTGTCATCGTCTCCTAAACCAGAAAACGTCGTTGACGTATGATTCCACTTTTTCTTCACATACTGGTACATGTAAAACATCTGAAATACCAGATAATTGACAGCCTCATCTTTAAGAAAAACTTACCGCCATAATGAAGTGGCTTTTGCATACTAGCGTTCTTTCCTCCGCTTCTCTCAGCATCGATTTCGCCACTTCAAAATACGTAGTATTATACAATACCAAACAAGTTAGCAGAATCAGTCTTTGAGGAGGGCGAAGAAAATCTTCACAGAGCTTGTCTTCTTGGGTTTCCCAACATATACCACAACGCGGAGCTTTACTAAACAGATTCTCTTTCGAGTTTCTAGAATGGGACTGAGATTTGACTATTTTAAGCAGTAATGGTTGAACTTCAAAAGCAGGTAAGTAATAGGATACCTGCCCTCAGTTTCTTCGGTGGTTACAGTTTTTGCAGGCATCGGCACCTCATCATCTTTACCTTCAAGAAACCGCTTTCTACTGCGACGGGTACCTCAAAAAGGAAGGAAAGCGTTCTTCCACACATACCAAAGAAAAACTAATGCTCACGTTTTTTAGGATCTGATGTCTGCGCTAGCGGCTGCTTGGGTTCGCACTAAAAAAAAACGAAAATAGCTCTAACTTGAGAAATGTAAATCGTATAACAGAATTCTGCTTCCTGATCATGAATAAAGCTCAATGTCTGTTCCTTCTACGTGTCTGTCTGTACGCATGCTCCGAATAGAAATTTTTATTTCTGAACCGATCCGGACCAAACTTCGCACACATTTTCGGGGCCGATTGGGCGGGTGTCGTAGGCTAGGGCATTTGGAAAATCGTGACGATGACGCGACACGCACGCCACTTCCGGAAATCGCGCCTTTTTGGTTTTCATCTCTAGTCAAATTTATTGCTTATATGATAGTAGACACTGGAAGTGACTGAGCTAAACGTTGAGGTGATTTATGCTCCTGTGTGGACAAAGTCCGCTGTAAAATCCGTCGTCACGATTAAATGAACTATACTTTTCGTTATAGTCAATATCGATTTGATTGAATTTTTGCAAAGTTTGAGCTAAGGGCTGGAAGTTTGCACAGGAAGATAAGTGAACATGCGAATCACGAAAATATTATTTACAGGGCCAGGCGGAGCCGGGTTTGCCAGCTAAAATTTGCTCTTTGCACGCTCTAATTACGCAATATATTTGAAAGATGGGAAGCTTACAGACTTTGCATAGAATCCACTAGTAAGGTCGGATGATCATCTAGTCTATAACGTGGCTTTTAAGGCCTGCTTCTTTTTTGTAATGCTACTTTTTCGCATCACGATTAGATTACCCATATGATACGTCAACATAACAGGCTTCAAAATTTTTTCAGCTTTCTTTTTTTTCTATATTTCTAAGCTCGCGAGGTATCGGAAAACATGACATTTTCACGAAAAACAGTCATTGTAGTACGACTGCGTCTCAGCAATGCTTTCATCAATATAGGTCCTACTTTCAAAATCAAAATGTTACTCGCTCACCTCTTTGATGATCCAATCATTTCCATCATGAAATTTACCAACACATTCTCTATAGAACATATTTATAACCCGCGGATGCAAGGTTATATTTTTCTGTAATGAAACGAAGTAAAACACATGCTTTTCCGTGGTTGACACACGTACATCAATACGAAGAGCTTGCTTCATAAGCAGATTCAAAAGTTCTGCAGGAATAGGAAGCAAAGATTGGGAATCCTTGAAAAAACATGCTGTTCTCTTCTTTAGCTGTTTCTCTATGAACCTGGCCTAAAAGAAAGCAATAGTAGTAGAAGAAAACCGCATGTGCGACTACTTACCGCGTCGACAAAATGCACATTACAATAGAATTTTTGTAGAGACGAACGCATGTAATGGAGACGAACAGCAGTCCTGAAGGCGATGCTCTTTTCCAGCAGCAGACAAGCAAGAAGTATCATGTTCTTTTGCACATCTTTCCACATTGCCCTGAGCTCTGAATATGGTTTTAGCGCTGAACACACAACGCACTTCATCCTTGGCATGGTGTCAGGAGTAACATCACCACCTAAACAAACTACATTAAGCTGGCTGGAGGTTATCGTCTCTAATGTGAAAATTTACAGAGTTTGAGGGCTGCGAGTTACGACAAAATAAATAAAAACTGCCTGAATCATCCTCACCAAATGATGAAACCAAGTCCTCTACGTCGTCTTCAGCCTCCAGTACAGGAACAAAGAAATCTACTTCACTAGCATGGAATTCACCTCAAATGTAGGCATACTACGTCTTTCGGTCACGGAGCACGAAAACACCTACCACTTGTACTGGGAAGCTCTTCTGAATATGGCTCCGGTGGAGTTGACGGTTCTTCCAAAGACTTTCTCAGTTCCATGTCGACATTAGACTTAATAATATACACAAACGTAAAGGATCGAATGCTGGGTGAGGGCAAAACAAAGATAACAATTGAGCTAGTCAAGGCAAACAATATCACTGAAACGAAGTAAGGAAACCTGATATTCGAGTCAGATCTTCTTTGAAATCTCTCGCACGGCGAGTTTTTTTGTAAACGAAACTTCCTTGAAACACTCAAACCTCCCCTTCCTCCTCCCCCTCCCCCCAAGTAGGATTGTTTCCAACAAATTTGATTGGAGCTCACTGAAATGAAGGGCCCTTGGTAACCTTTCCTTCAATCCTGCCCTTTTGGGTCACTGGGAAGAACTAACATTTTCTCGAGCGTCATCAAGGCCGCAGTTTTTTTTTGAGATCCTTGAGGAAACGCAAACAGGCAAAACTCCACAAACATCGATGCATTATTACAATTAGATTATTACATAACCTTTGATTGAACTGGCTTGGCGGCTGTAAGGCGGGACTTTAGGACCTAATTAAGGCCGCTCGCGCAAGCGACGCAGTCTGCGCCTCTCTCGCGCGGCTGCTCTCTGATCATTGTCTAGCTTTGAGCCACAAAGCCCCGCCTCCATGTCGCCAGGCTAGTTGAATCAAAGGGTGAGCCATTTATGCGAAGTTGGGTAACGGGGCAAAAAATTTTTTGTTAAGTATGAAAAGGATGCAATAGGAGCCTCTTACAGACCGATATCTAAGAAGGGACTGCCTTATAGGTCGCCTACAAATAGCTTGCATGTTTGGTTTTTTTACAAGAGTAAATGCATTTCCTGTGGAGTAACCTCTTTTAAGACGAGACTTTCACCGAACTGCATTCTTGGTCTCTTTCTCGGGAATTAATGCATTTTCTGCAGAGTGAATTGTTTCGAATTGGATTTTTCACCAATACCACTACTCAGAATAGTGATATAGCAAGAAGATTACACAGGCATTGAAAGACGATAATGAGTTAGTGATTTACGAAGATGACAGAAGAAGAACTTGCGCGAAGAGATTTTGAAGCACTATTCGTCATCACATGCGATGAAGACTGCGATCAATTTACATTTCGTGAGCGCTCGCAGTATGCTGTCTGCGTCTCTGTTACAATCACTTGTCTCGGATGAGCATGTATAAATCTCTGCGAGGCACTGTGATGTCTCGCGCCCTCGTACACCACTCTCCATGTGCAAAGTTAAAAGGGCGTCAGGGAAGCAGGCGAAGGGACGCATTCCCGTCTCGCTAGATGTTTACAGTTTATATATGAAAAGATGAATCTAGAAACAATTTTTCCCTGGAGGTCTTAAGACTAGAAACAAGTAAATGACAGAATAATCCTAAAAGATCATTTTTGAGCCTCTCTTTTTTAAATACAGTATCGTCCTCTCAAATCACTGCTACAGGGATTACCAATCCCAGATTTGGGTGCACCAGCATTTCGGCTCCAGCGCACCTGCCTCGCCTGGGGTCTGCGCCTCTTCGCGAACATGCTCTCTTATCACTTTCCCATAACAGCGTATGAAATGCGGAGCTTTAATCACTAGTTGAGCGTGCTAGAATGATTAGAAAGCATGTTCGCGAAAAAAGCGCAGAGCCCAGGCGAGGCGGCCACGCGGGAACGAGATGCTGGCGCACCCAATTCTGCGACTATAAGCCCTGTAGATACCCTATTTTCAGGTGTATAAGCCGCACCCTTTTCGCTCTAAACGCGAGCAGACCCAGGCGTGCCGCCGCGCATATGTCTCGCGAAGCGGTCGCCTTATCGCATACTGCTCTCACTTAACGCGCTCCATGATGGCAGTCAGTCTTTTGGCGTGTTCGCCTTTAGATTGAAAAGGGTGCGGCTTATACACCTGAAAATAGGGTAATACCTGCTCTACGTCTGTGACCTGCGGCACGTATGGACAAAATGTAACAACATGCCTACAACATGCAACATATGTTGAAAAACATTTTGGCGGCTAACCCCAACGCGAACATGATGTCGCGTGTTGCCAACATGTCAGCCACGCGGCCGTAGCGTACCGAGGGAGAAGGCGGATCCCCCCCCCCCCGAGATGGGTAGCGAGATTCTTGCAAGTTACTTACATGGGTTATAGAAACGTGCATGGCTTGTCTATACTTGTAAATAATTAATTTTTTTTTTGATTTTTGAAAATTCACTTTAGCTTCTAAAAAATTCTTTCCGGGGCGGTCCGCAAAAATTCTGGGAAACATACCATAAACGGCTGACTCACGCCCCCTTCGTCCGAAATGTTTTTCTGTCGCCCCCCCCCCCCCGCCCTCCCCCGAACGAAAATCCCGGGTACGCCCTGGTTTCAAGCCATAAGTTACATCAATTCGAGTGCGATTGCCTCTGTTCAAACAGTAACGTGTGACAAGTATTGAAAGTCATACTTATTGTAAGAAAAACTCAAAAAAAATCGGAAGATTTATTAGCATTTCATGCAAAGTAACAATTCGATGAACTTCATAACAATAACACAGAGCAAACTTGGCGATTTAGTGGGCCTGCGGTGCCGACAGCATTTGCGCGTGAACGGCTTGTGATGCCGACAATTAGCGAGTATAGAGTGGCAATAGAAAGTTACCAAGTTCTATGCCCCAAGGCCACTGCTCATGCGCAGAAGTTGGCAGTGAAAGGTGGAAATCGCCAAGTCTATTAGCCCATACATATTTACATCAAGATTATCGGTAATGCATACTATCTAAAATAGTCTCCACACGCGGAGTAACATTTTTTACATCGGGTGATTAAGTCATGGATACCAGATACAAAAAACTGTACAGAATCGGACTCAAAGTAAGTTTTTATACAGCTGGCTAATTGAGAATCTTCGCGACAATCTTGTTTTTCTACATATTCTCGAATACGTTTAACAAAGTGATATTCTGTGGGAAGGAGATCATAGCATATTTCTGGTAAGGTAAGGATTTCATATCCGTTTTGATGAAGGGCTTGAATGGCACTCAGAGACAAGTACGATAATCGATTATCGTGCAACATAAGCAATCCACCTCTGCCACCCGATATCAACGTACGATATCGTTTATATGCAAGCAACTTTTTATGCATTGCATTAAGCTGCTCAATGTAAAGATCGGGTGTCAATTTGTATCCCGCTGGCAATAGAAAAAAGTGAACCACACCGCATGTGGTCCACCATACACCTAACATAGTATTTTCACCAGGACCTAGCCATATTTCTCCATATGTCACTATCCTCTCCATGAAATCCTGCTCTCGACTTTGCCGAGTTATCAGTGCTGAACAGATCTGAAGACGTTCACATCGTTGCCGTCCAGTCAGTGGTGTTTTCTTCACGAGTTGCGGAATTCCACTCATTAAAACACACGAGATGATCGTATCTATAGGTGCCCCAAGCTCTTCAGCAAGTTCATTAACAGTTCTGTTTGGGTCCGCCTTGAGTAAGGCTTTCATCAATTTTCTATCCATCTTCGATACTTTACTAGCCACTTGGAGAGACTTTTCCCGAAATTCTTCGTACCATCCCCTCATTTGATGTTCAGTGACTACTTCATAGCCGAACGCCGTTACAATCTCAGAAGTGGCTGTTTGGACACTGAAACCTCGCTGGAAGTGGAACAGCGCTATCGCTCGGAAGTCAGTAGTTCTGAAAATAAAACGTCGTTACTACTACGCGACCCCAACATACAGTCTGTGTCAATCACGCACTCCTTTTGCGTAGCACTTACGCATCCGCAGCGCGTTGCCTTGCATGAAGACCTCCAGTTAATGAGGCCAATTTGAGTACTCACGCCATAATTGACTCCACTAGATTTTTGACCCACTTCGTGTAGAACGCGCCATGAGTAATCTGTCATTTGGCGTCGCGTACAGCATCTGCACAACAATACAGTTTTTTTATGTACGCGACAGCAAATGACAAATTACTCACGACGCGTTTTACACGAAATGGATCAAGCAGATCAAGTGGATTGACTATGGCTGTTGGTACGGTGAGCGACGCGGCGCAGAGTTCGAGAGCGACGATGGATAAGGGGGCATGAGATTGACACAGGCTGTAGCAAATCTAGCGAATTTGACGGTAAAAGTGCACCGGCGGTGTTGGCTCAAAAACTGTTCGTAAAAAAGTTGTCCAAAAGGCTCTTGCTTGATTTGGCAAAAAAAAAATGAAATGATTCTACACTAACAATAAGTAAATTAGAGGCTCAAAGTAAACAGATATGACTCCGGGAAAAATATCTTTTTCTACGTGTTATGTTGGTCACTGTGCTCAATTAACTAATATTGAAGATTGTGACCTCTCCCCCTCAATCTTCGCTCTTCACCGTTTAAGCCGAAATAAAATGAAGTAGTTGTGCTGAGATACTATGACATAAAAGTGCACATCCTTATGCAACTACTTCAACTACTTCAATATGCGGATTTAACGGCAACAACTCACATGCCATTCCATTGCCCCGAAGATGTTTCAGCTGAACGGCTTTCGGAACTCGCTCCTGAAATATAAGATACCACAAGTTATTCTGATACTCGTAATGACTAACCATTGTCCACATCTAAAATAGGCTGCTCCAAAAGCGTAACAGCCGAAATTTCTTTATGAAACGGTTCGACTGTCTGTTCTTCATCGACGGCTAAACGTGGTGTATATGACAGCGAAAATCACAAAAGTCAAAGAAAAGAACTAAAGCGGAATAAATACCAGAAGCTGTCCTCTTTTCATGGTTGTTGGATTGTATGCTATCGTGTACGGTGTCTTCCTGAGGCTTCACTGCGGGACTCTCATCAAAAATATGGATGACATCACAATCAACAGTTCCAGACACCTGAAATTGTTCATAACGACGTGCAGAACAAGCACGCAAAAAAGCTGGAAAAATATCAACATACTCCACTCTGGTGGTTGATATCGACTTCCTCTAACCCTTCCTGGTTATTTTTCAAACTTGAAATCTCATTGAAGTCCTCGAACAGAAAAGAGAATTCCCTGATTTCTGAGTGTGTGATACGCACTCGCTAAAACATGAATTTGCAAGCTCCGACTTGTAACTTTCCTAGCAGTTCATACTTTGTAGGCGCGATAGACAAATAGTCTTCATTCCAAGCTAGGAGACGTAGCAGTTTTGGCGCATACAAAAAACATCTAATAATTTGTCCGATTGAGTACTCCAAAATAAAGGCTATCTTAACTGCAGTGTCGACCTGCGCGGTCGCCTCGCCTGCACAATGCGCCGCGCCGCGAACGTGCCTTCGGATCCACTTCCACGCGCGAAAGAAAGATTCAGTATTGAGCTTCAGTTGTTAAACAAGCGAGATCAATGGTCATACAACATGTTCTCGAAGCGGTGCAAGCCTAAACGAGGCGGCCGCGCGAGACCCTACCCCCTCGAATCTAGCACGCTTCAAATGAGACAGAGAGTACGCTACAAGAGCAGATAATTCTCTCTTCCCCCTCCCCCTTCCAACAACTTCCAACTCTAGTAGATGAAGATCATTTTCTCAGATAAGATGCAGCAAGCATCTTACATGACCAAAAAGCTTCCAAATGTACATGGGTGAGTCTAAGTTTGACAACTCAACAGTAAGGCCACCGCTCAAACAGCTGGCAAGCCCGGAAAATATGGACTTTCAAAGGATTGATATGAAATGGATGTCCATTTCATATCAATCCTTCGAAAGTCCATATTTTTGAAGGACTTTGAAAATATGGACTTTCAAAGGATTGATATGAAATGTTTATATCCTCAAAGCAACTTTAGTTCAGAAAGGTAAGCTTTTGGAAATCAAGGCGCAGAAATGGCTCACAGCATAGATGTCCCTTAAACAAAAATCAAAAGACGAACGACTGTCTAACTCGTCTTAAATGTAAAACTTTGTACTCACACCATCGATCTTCTCTGCGTACGTCTGGATCAGATCTTGTAGACGTATCAATTGTGCAGCAGGAACATCGTGTAGCCATTTGCTGGGTTCCACTCCCCGAAGTCGTTTATACTCATTAAGAATACTCGAGGTCTAAAAAAGAAACTAGAGTGTTTCTCCTTGATATGCAGCTCTATACTAACTAGAATCTTTGAATTAGTCTTGTAAGAAAAACTTTTTTGGACAGACGCAAAAATTCGGGAAATTACCACAAAAAATCGGAGTGGTGGCTTTGGCAATACACCTCCATTCGAAAAATTTCTGTAGCCTCCTCTACTCAGAACGGAGATCCTGGGACCGTCGTAAAAAAGAAAAAACCTCAAAATTCGACATTTTTAGAGACCAGATTGGCGCAAATAATGTCCAGATCAAAAAGGAACCAAGCCCTTCTATAACTATTACAAAACGATGAACGCACAATGCTGCAGCACGTGAATCGCACCTCGGTACATCACTTCACACCAGTGGTACCAGGATTTCCATTTAGGGGGGGGGGGGAGGGAGGGAGCAGGCAAAATTTTCCAAATAAAGGTGCGTGGCGTTAGACACACGCACCGAGTTTTTTGAGATGTTTCCCAAGATTTCTCCTTGCCCATAACCTCTACATATTACAAAAAGAAGGCCATGCGGAAATCTTTGTTAATCGTGCGCAACCAGCCTATTTTTTAAAACAAACAAGGTAAACTCACCGCGATAGAAAAATGCCATTTGCACATCTCATAATATCGCAACCTAGATCTCGGCATTAGCTCCAACCTAGATCTCCTCAGTAGTTCCTTCGCTTGATTCAGATCACACGTTCCATTGATAAGCATACAACTGAGCAAGATGATGTTCTGAGATCGGCACTTGGTCGACGCTCTCAGGAATTCACTTTTGTTTCCATATGCTCCACACAGTGAACATGTTTTATAGTCTGCCTTTGGTTGTTCTTCCACATTTGTCTCTGTCACGATATCTGGATGTATTTGCGAAGAGGAGCTGGCTTCATTCAATTCCATCGTTTCTTGTTCGATATTTTGATTTACCATCAAAGATGAGGCTGCTTCGCCAGGATCAGTTATTATCTCTTGTTCGATAGGTAGCTCTGGCTGCGAAGAGGAGCTCGTTTCGTCCATCTCCGCATTTCCCTCCTGTTCGAGATTTGAATCCAAGCAAAAAGGTGAGTACGCTTTGTTTGATTCGAAATTTGTCTTCTGTCCTACATTTGAATTTGACTGTAGAGGGCCGGCTTCATATGAGACCATGACCGCATTTTCTTCAATAGGAATGACTTTATCGGGTCCCACATTTGCTTTTTCTTGAATGGTTAACTTTGACTGCGAAGAAGGGTTCGCGGTAGCAGAATAGACATTGCCGCTGAAAACAATACGCTTAATAGCGAATACAAAATATCAAGAGGACCAAATTATTCAGAAATAAGTTCGATATTTTCAGCAGAATGAAGAACAATGATTAGCGGCGGGAAGTACAATTTCTTATCTAATGACTATGGGTCCTACAAGCATAAAATCAAAAGCGCAATCTTTCAGGATAGAATTGTGCGAACCAGTTAACCCATGACAATTACATTCCGTGTCAATCACATTCTCCCTTGTGCGCAAGAACTCTTCTTCCGCAACACGAGATGTTGCGTGCGGACCTTCAATCGATGCGGCCATATACCGAAGCAACGCACATAAAAGTGGACAACGCAAAGCTGTAGCGTGGCGATCGCGCTGAAAGAAAAGGGAAACGCGATTGACACAGGCTGTACAATTTTGAGCACTATCTTATTACCAGAAACTAGTCAAAAAACATGTCATGTGTTCGCTTTTAGGCAACAGAGATTTTCCCAAAAATAGAAATCGTGAGATCCTATGAACTAATTCCATTTTTAACAAGTCATCCCCGGGGTATTATATACATCAAATGTCGGATTGTACCTCCAAACCCTAATCAACATAGAATTTACTGCACCTTGTTTCTGGCCTGACGATTATGCTCGCTTGCTTCTCGTTCTCTTCTTTCAAAGGCAAAGCGACTCCGTCTGCAAAACTAATTTCAGATAATGAAGATCGTTTTTAAGGCTTCTCGTCCTGTTGAACATATAGCTAGACACACATTGCAGCGCATGAAAATGGCGAAAATGAGCTTTCGGAGCTCTTCATGCCCGCATTCGCTGGATAATACGTGCAAGGCTGACCCTCTTACCTCAGTGAAATCTAAAGTGAAAATGGGCGTCTGCAAAAAGCTTAAAATTCCACTCCGGAAGATTTCCGGAGTGGAATTTTGAGCTTTGCGGACGCCCTTTTTCACTTTAGATTTCACTGAGGTAAGGGGGGTCAGCCACTGCAACACTGAAAAACTACAGTAACCATCAGTAAGTTAAACGTTCTCTCTTCTCTGAACCTGGGCATTTGGACTGATGTTATTAGTTGTCATATGATATTATGCCAGTGCCAGGTTTGTACGGTGGAATGTTTTATTGGCCTTACGTTTCGACAAAATCGTCTTCGTCGGAGGCCTTTATCCCAAACCTGGCACTGGCATAATATCATATGACAACTAGTAACCATCAATTTGATTTCTGAATTTTCTGCATGTGGGAGTCCCAGTACTCGCACAAAATAACTTCCATACTCCTCTCCTTCCTCTACGGTTATTTGTTTCCCCCTACTTTCTATGAGTTTTGACATAAGGAGGCGGTAAGTGTGAGTTGAGATATTTCTCTACTGCAGCGGGGAAGTGCCAAGAAGCGCCGAACTTCCGAACTTGTCAGCTACGAATAGATCTAATTTTTGTAATCACCATACAACTAGGTAACCTTATCTCGGATTTTTACCGCGAAGAAAAGCCTTGTAAAACCTTATAGCGCTTGCTAGACAAGAATGCAGAATGCCGTCTAATCGCAAAAAAAAAACACAATTTTTGAGAGATTCAGTTTTATTTCTAAACTGCTCGAAGGCAGCTGCTTACTTATGAAGCTGTCAAAGAAGTGCAATGCGAATAAGGAAAAACCATATCGGTCAAAGCGTTCGTATTGCTGAGCTTATATAGAACGTCAGGTTTCGGGCATAGTTCACCCCATTTCATCGCTTCGCGAATCTCCTGGCAAGACAATGGTTTCAGTCCATTGCATGTCAATCGCCTTGCGTTTGGGTTGTGATGACTAGTTACGAGTAGTCCTATAGGAAAACTACCACCGAAATGCAGGAGTCGTCGTGCAATAGACTCATAAAAGCTCTCTTATTGGAAAAATCGCGAGGCGATAAAATCGCTTGTACCATGTCCGAAGCCTAATACATCACATTGCAATGATACGTATACGAACGTGCTCACCTCGGTCTACATCATTCGAAAATAAATCATCCTCTTCTTGCAAAAGCTGAGTTCCTTTAGCTGCATTGAGCATATTGGGTGGAGGAAGTTCTATAATCTCCCACTCATCATTCTCAGCATATCTGTGGAGATAGTCAGTATAGAATGACGCAACATCCTGCGTTACCAAGACATCGGGACCCTAAAAAGCAAACAGTGTAAATCAAATCATTTCGGAAACTCACAGCTCACACTTATGCTGTCAAGAATTTTATTGAGCTGTTCTTGCAATGTCTCTACAATGTCAAACAAAATATTCATTGATAGAGTACACAGCCCAAGTTTAGGAACATGTCCGATCAACTTGCGTACTGCTGCTCCCAAATAGGCGCCCTGAAAAAGCTTTTATAAGAAAATCCATCGGCAGATAAGCACAGAAAAAAAAACAGCCAGCCGGTGTCATTAGAGGCAGTGGATCAACAAACCCTTCTTCAGTTATGGTAGTGTTAGGTAGAGTCCCCAAACACACTGCAGCCCAAATCTTATCTGTCATCATGCCCTAAGTGCTGAAAAATGCTTCAAATCCATCGGCTCCGCCCACTTCCATTGAGGCATGAACTGACACGGGATTTGGGCTACAGTGTATTTGGGGCTCTACTACCTACTCTACAGCACGGGCTACAGTGTATTTGAGGGTCCTCTACCTAATACCATCAAAATCCGAGAGGGGTCCATTTTGGCAATCCACTGCCTCTAATGGCCGTGTCCGGGCAAGAAGTTGATTTTGAGATTTCGTGCTATCCGGGCCTATTCGCTATGCTAAATCCGAAAATCCTCACTAGAATTAAAACAGGAGGGAAATCAGAGGTGGGCGGGACCCTTCCCACTGTGAATTCACGCTTCCAGCTTCCGGAGCGATCTTCTCAGTTCCGATTACAACTCAAGCGTTCGCCCTTGGCCGGTCGAGATGTCAGGGCTGCTAGCGAAAAGCGAAATCGAAAATCGCTCCGAAAGCTTGGAGCGTGAATTCACATTGGAGAAGACCCCGCCTATCTCCTGATTTCCCTCCTGCGTTAGAGCCTCTTTTCGCCGTTTTCGCGCTTTCTAGTGTGGATTTCCGGATTCAGCATAGCTAATAGACCCTGGTAAGCACAAAATCTCGAAATCGACTTTTTGCCCGGACACTGCCTTTAAAGGCAGAATTTCCCGCAGAATTTCGTTTTCAAAATTTTCACATTTTTGGGGCCTTCTCGCCATAAGGAACCCATGTCTTGGCTTTTCAGCGCATGAAAATGGCGAAAATGAGCCTTTTACGAAGCTTCCCAGGCCCGCATTCAGTGGAGAAGTGGGCGGGCCCGGAACGAGGGAGGCGGGGCGCGGCTTTTTCAGGCGTGTCTTCACCGAATGCGGACCTGAAAGCTTCGAAAAAAAGCACATTTTCGCCTTTTTCTTGCGCTGTAAAGTCCAGAAATGGATTCCTCACAGCGAGAAGGCCCCAAAACTGCCGAGACACTGCTGCCAGGTGGTATCCCCCTCCCAATCCTACCCTCCAGTTATAGCGCTATGTTTTGGAAGTGCGCTTTAAACAACTAGCCCCGCACCCTTCCAATGAGTGGGCGTCATTAGTAGAGGAAACTCGTTTTCGGGACCCAGTGCATGAAGAGCAAGGTAGGATTGGGGCTACAATGTAACTGGGGGATCTGAGCCTAATTGCCCAGCCACTGCCTTTAACGCGCACAGTAAACTGCTTTAGTCTGTGTACTATCGTGACAGTAACTCAATAATCCCCAAAAAATATTTGCATCTACTTACCGCATGGATGAAATGCTCATGGCAAAGATATTCATTCAGTCGAACACCATTTCGGTGAATATGCTTCGCTGCCTTTTCGTCAACCAAGTCCTGCTTGAGCAAGCACGCCAGCACCACATTCACTCGTCCAACCTTTGTTGGAAGTTGTCGAACATCTACTGAATACTGTCTGAGTCCGCAGAGTCCACAATCAATCAGTGCACATAAGAAGTCGTTCCGGCGCTTATGTTTGATCGACCACGGCTGCTTAACCACGATCGACTTGAAAACATTGTGCGATCTGGAAAGGTGGGTGAGGAGGCCAAGAACACGGAAGACGGTCAAGAGGCGCGATTTCTCCAGAACTCACCAGTGTAACCGCGCAATTTAGGGCTAAGAAAGTAATTCAAGGATGCCATACAAAGTGAATTAACTTACTTAGTATCTGAAACTACCACTTGCTAAGTTTGACGGCATTTGGTAAAAAATTTATTGAAATAGTCACGAAAATGCTATTTGCATTTTCGCGGCATTTTGACCTCGACACTTATGTTTAGAATTTATTTCAGAATTTCAAGATTATCTTGTTAAAAATCTGATTGCTCCCAAAATCATAAAATACTAAAATTTTAAGATTATTTTGTTAAAAATCTGATTGCTCCCAAAATCATAAAATACTAAAAATGCGCTGGTTGGTGTCCACCTGGCAATAAAAATCGCGCCTCTTGACATACACCGTAAGAACGAGAAAATAATGACTTTTAAGGTTGATAGATAGAGAAAATAACTTGAGCACCTGCGAGGTGTGGCTTTGCGAGAGATATCATCACGAGCCAGCTCTCTTTCTAAAATTCCAGCAATATAGCCAATGTGCACATGGCAAAAAGCAATGCTCACCGCGACGCTTTGAAATAGGCATGCTGTCGTCCTGTATTCTCTTGGCAACGGGAACAGATTTTTTCACCTGATTTGCTTCGCTAATAACATGAAGAACAGTGTCCTAAAATGCATTAAAGTGCAAGTAAGACAAAAACCAGCCTAATATTGTCCATGAAGAGATGAAAAGATGAAAGTGAACAAATAAGTAATAAAATTGCAAAAAGTACAAATCAAATTCTCACCATTACTGATCCATTCTCTACCTCATTGCGAGCTTTCAGTCTAGTTATTAGTTTGTATTCGGCCTCATTACGGTTGTAGAACTTTTCTAAAGTCGATATACCGACTTCGATTATATTGCACCCCTGAAAAGTGAATAACTATCGAAGTCAGGGCAAGAGATACGTATACTTCGTTCGTTGGCCGCACGGACTGGACATCACTACGGAGCACGCGCCGCGAGGTAGAGCGATTGCCCCAGTACAAATTCGCCATTGTACAAATCGTGCTTTCGCAACATTTTAGCCGCACCGCGCGCGGTCCGCATATTGGGCAGTCCGTGCGGTCAAACGAATTGCGATACCTACGATCGATGTCAACCAAGTGCTCCCTTTTCCGTAGCAGCTACGTTTTCGCACCGCAAGACCTAGCGCGGATACTCCGACCGAATGAGGCAGGTTTTGAATGCGTAAAGTGTACGCGCGAACCTGCGCGACGCTGTGGGGTCGCGATTTGGCTGGTGGAAAAGGGAGCACAAGGTTGACATGGACTGTATTTGTCTTTTAATGCCTGAAGAAAATTATAGGGTGTCTAGAACTTATAAGTGCCTACACTCTGAAAGGTTTTTCAGAGTGTAGACACTTGTAAGTTTTGGACGCCCTATAATCGTTATAGTGTGTCAAGATTGGCAGTGCCAAGATTTTGCAGTATGATCGGTTCGCAGATCTGCATAAAGGTGGAGCATTGCCACATTTGATAACTTGAATGAAACTGTTGAGCCGTTACAACATTGCTTTTCGTACTCTAACTAACGACAACCGTCACACTTTGACTGGCACGACTCTGCCTCAGCGCTAATCTGGAAATCGATGATAAATTAGTGCGGTGACAATTAGCCCTGTCATGCCGATCTTTGGCGCGCAGAAAATGCCGGCGTTACTCTAGCCAGATTTTACCGCAAATCTTGGCACCGCAAGCACATTATATTAAGCGTAAAAACTACTATCTGTCAAACACGTGTTCCCAACTAGGCATCGCAGTGCGGGGCATTACGCAGCGATCTCCGATCGAGGCAGCAGATTCAAACGTCCAAGCCGTACGCCCGCTAGCGTTGCGCTTGAGCTGATTGGGAAAGGAGCAGTAGTTGACACAGACTGTAGACTGTACGCAGCACAGTCTACAGTCTATGTCAACTACTGCTTCGCGGCCGCACATAGAAAACATGATTTAAAGGCAGTGTCCGGGCAGAAAGTCGATTTTGAGATTTTGTGCTTATACGGGCCTATTCGCCATGCTGAATCCGAAAATCCACATTGGAAAGCGCGAAAACGGCGAAAAAGGGCTCTAACACAGGAGGGGAATCAGCAGGTGGGCGGGGCTTGCCCCAGTGCGATTTCACGCTCCCAGCTCCCGGAGCGATTTTCTCGATTCCGCTAGCCGTCCTAACATCGCTACCGGCCAAGTGCGAATGATTGACTTGAGACCGGAAGCGAGAAGATCGCTCCGGAAGCCGGTAACGTGAAATCGCAGTGGGGAGGACCCCGCCCACCTGCTCATTTCCCTCCTGTGTTAGAGCCGTTTTTCGCCATTTTCGCGCCCTACAATGTGCATTTTCGGATTCAGCGTAGCGAATAGGCCCAAGTAAGCACAAAATCTCAATATCGAATTTTGCCCGGACACTGCCTTTAAGGCCAGAATGTGCTGATCACCTAACCAGATTGTAATGCTCGAATGACATTTTGTGTGAAATTGGAGCATGTGCTCCAATCGATCAATATAGGCAGCTGAAACAGTACAACTTACTACTCCATTAGCTTCCTTTTGCAGATTTATGGCACAGGTATTTATGTGGTTGAATAAGTCAAGTTTGTAAACGTTCCCCAAACCAGAAAACGTTGCCGACGAATGATTCCACTTTTCCTTCACATATTCATACATGTAAAGCATCTGAAACACCAAGTAACTAACCGCTCCATCTTTTGAAAACTCACCGCCATAACAAAGTGACTTTTGCAAACTAAAGTCTTTCGATCTGTTTCTCTCAACATTGATTTCGCCACTTCAAGGTCGATCTTTGAGCAATATGGGTTCAACACCAAACAAGTTAGTAAAATCAGTTTTTGAGCAGGTCGAAGTGTAAGATCGATAGTGTCACAAAGCTTGGATTCCTCGATATTGCCACATATGCCACAAAAAGACAGAACTTCACAAGTCAACGACCGATTTTTATTCTTCTCCAAGCACCTAAAGTGGTAACAAAGGTTTAACTCGACTATTTGAAAGTAATGACGGGATACCTGCCCTCGGTAACGACGGGTTCGGTGATTGCAATCTTTGCAGGTATCGTCGCTTGGTCATCTGTGCTTTCAAGGAACCGCTTTCTACTGCTTCGAGTTCCTTGAGAAGGAGGAAATAATTGTGAACATATTATAATGTGAAAAAAGCGGCGCTCACTGTTAGTACTGTCTGACTCCTGCAGTTTCGGTTGCACAGGTGCACTAGTCTGAAAAAATTATCGAACAGCCTTACAAAGGAATTACGGTTCCGATGGAATTTAGTATCTCTGGCAGCTCTAAGGACATCAAATGGGCAAAACGCCCTTCTCTACCAAAACGATCGAACGTAATTTCATCAGATGTTATGTTTAGAGTTATTTAATTTATGCCCTTTACTAGATTGCAATTCGGATCCATTTAGATAGGTTGCAGGTATGTATTAGGTCACTCACCTCTTTGATGATCCAGTCATTACCATCATGATATTTCAGAAGGCATTCGCTGTAGAACAACGTTATATCCCGTTCTTGCAAAATCATTTCTTTCTGCAAGAGAGTTTGAATCGCATATTTTTTACTTAAAATTAGATGGATAGGCGTACCTCGATAAGATTTGATTGTTCTATGAGCAAATGCATAAGTTCTAAAGGAATAGAGAGCGGATATCGCGAATCCGAATAACATGCTGGACTTTTCTTTAGCTCTTCTTCTATATACTTGGCCTCAAATGAAAAAAATAGTCAACGCAGCAGAAGAAAACCACATATAAGGTTGCTTACCGCGTCGACAAAATGTACTTTACAATACAATTTTTGGAATGATGAACGGAATTCAGCATAAAGATGAATAGCAGTTTTTAAGTCAATGTACTTCCTCAGCAGCAAACAAGCAAGGAGTGTCATGTTCTTCTTCGCATCTTTCCACGTTCCCCTGAGCTCCGAATGTGGTTTTAACGCTGAGCACACAGCACATACCGCTGCTGGCCCACTAACAGCATCACCTAAGCAGTATTACAATAAGAAAGCTGGCTAGGTATACTCGACTAGAGTTATGCACAGAAAGTTTGCTGTTGTGAGAACCAAAAGGCTGAATCACCCTCACCCGATGACGAAGTCGATGGTTGTTCAAGAGACAAGTCTTCCTCTAAGTCGTCTTCAGCTTCCAGCTTAGGAACGAAGAAGTCTACCGGACCAGCATCATGCTCACCTCAAAAACAAGCAAATTCAATAAAAGTCCTATAGCAAAGTAAAGCAACAAAACACCTACCACTTGCACTGAGAAGCTGTTCTGCACTCAGCCCTTGAGAAATCGGTGGCTGCTCTTTCTGTTCGTTTTTCAGAATCAATTTGGTATTAGCCTTGAAACATACAGGGGTTATACTACAATGTCGGGAGCACCAGCATCTCCAACTCCACGCGGCCACTTCGCCTGAACTCACACCTCCTTCGCGGACATGCTCTCTGATCACTTTCCTAGCGCGAGCGCGGGAAAGCCGGAGCCCCAAACGATTAGATATGATTAGAGAGCATGTTCGCGGAAGAGGTGCAGAGTCCCGCGCCGGAGTAGAGATGCTGGTATACCCGACACAGCACAACTGATGAGCCATGTACATAAACGTACAAAGGTCTCATGCTGGATGAGCAACAAAGAAGGAGATCTATCATGCTGTTCGTACCAAAAAAAGAACATAGTACCTTCTAAAAGTCTCACCTTCAAGAACAATGTGCACTCAGGCGTGTCCGTGGTCGTCAGTTTTGCCGCAACTTCATCACGAAACTCCGCCATGTATTCGTTGAAAAATTCTCTCACATCTTTCTTATCAATGGGAAGCGTGCTCTGAAAAATTCACATAAACAACAGATGTGGACAGCTACCCAGTAACGGTAAGTACAGCGCTACGCAGCTGCCGCATAGACTAATGCGCTCCCTCGACAATTATAGCCTGTCTCAATGTCTCCGGTCGATGGGCACATCCCCTTCGCGAGTATCTCGTAGCAGGTGATGGGCGTTCGGTTTAAGCAGAGATGCAAGGATTCGCCATCGCGCCGCTCGCACACGTAGGCAAAAAGGACACCGTATCTGAGGCAGACAGTATATAATGCTGCTTACATCGACAAGGTTTCGGTAAAATCGAAGATTTGTCAGCAATCCAAAGAAAGTCCTTTCGGAAATGTCATTAAGGCCATCCAGAGGAAACTTGCCGCAGAACAGCTCAACTTCCCATCCAAGAAACAAGAGCTGAATGATAAGAAATAAGTTCTAAACTCATACTGCAACCAAATGACAAAAAAGCTTACCGCTTGGATAAAATGCTCCTTGCATATTCTTTTCCTAGCAACGAATAAGTTTTTATAGCGTGTTTTCACATCCAGTGGGATCACATTGTAACGCGCCAGACAAGAGAATAAAATGACAGTAGCCACTTTCTTCGAAGGTATCGGTGCAAGATCCGATAGTTGTTGCTCGTTGTCACATAAGACGCATACCAGGTGGTTCTGGAATATCCGATGAAGCTCGTAATCCATTCTATAACAAATCAGTATAGCCCCAAAGTCGCGCGAAGTAACACCAGATGACGAGAAAGTGCAAAGGCATTTCAAATAGAAGAGACCAGCCGGAAACGTGGATATACCTACAATAATTCGAATTTGCACATGGTGTTACAAACTGACTTAAAGGCAGTGGGTCGGCAAAACTCAACAACTCAAAATTTTAACGCGGTAGACTCCTTACTGCCCAAGTATGAAAACAGTGCAACCCCGATTGCACATCATGCCTTCCTTGCCGAGAAAACTGCTCTCAAAGTCACATGCGCAGGCCATTCTTACACGCATCCGGACGAGTTGGCAATTTCCTTCTCACCATTGGAGGCTGCCCGCCGCAATGCTATAACCATTGGGTCCTGCAACGATTCGGCGTCATCAGCCTTGCTGCACTCGTTCATTTCCAAAGGGAAGAACTCTCGTTTTCGGCGTTTTCAAGCTCTCAAGAGTGGATTTTCGGAATCAGCGTGTTGAATGACCCCAGATAGGTGGAAATTTGACCAGAATGAGATTTGCCGAGCCACTGCCTTTAACACGTTTCGGACCGGTGCTGCACATGGTGCAGCACGCTGCTTTGAGGGATCTTTCTGGCGTTTGCAGGAAGTTTCCTTTGGGGAACGGTCAGGAGTCACGGTCGGCGCGAATCTTTCGCGAAGCGATGCCGCAAGCGATGTCAGCAAAACAGATGCCAGCACTCCTGGCGCAGTCTTACTTATGGCATGAGCCATGTATCTGCTTCCACCCCTCACCCCCTTAGACTGGCGCCGTGCCACTTTAGCACCGGGCAGTTTTACGGGGTACAAAATTTAGACGCGACGCGCGCGGCGAAGCGGCGCGGCGCGCGGCGTGACTCCTGACATGGAGCCTTTCCTTTTAGTCTAAAGTTGTTAAGTTAAAGGTCTAACCTCCTACTTTTCATATGACTTTGTAGAGTTGTGCCGCCAATATTTGTTTAGGAGATATGAGCACAAATCGAACAACAGTTGCAACGAAGTGCGGCGACGCGAACGACGCATGCGACGTCGCGACTTTCCTTTGCTTCGATATCAAAGAGAAAAACCGTAGTTTCAATACTGATGTGTGCCGTGTACAACATAGATACTTTTGAATACTATTAGAATCTGAGTTCTTGTTCCTATCTTTCAAGAAAGCACAAAAGTCCCTCTCAAGCGACAAAATTCAAACACGTCCAATTCACACAGAACTTTGGATATGGAGCTTATCTGACATGTCGATTACAAATGTGGCCCACAGGCTGCGAAATAAGGTCCCTTTGTAGGCTAACGGCTGAAAGTACACTCTTTTTCGCCGCGCGCGATTTCGCGGTCCGAAACGTGTTAAAGGCAGTAGATCGGCAGAATGAGACCCGTGACAAAACAAGGTCACAGGGTAGAAGCCCCCATATGGAACCTATCGGCCAAAGTCCGATCTTTCGCCACTTCTAACCCCCGAAATTTCAACGCGGAAGCAGCGCTCATCTCCTGTATTCTTTCTCCGGCCCCGTTCACCATGGGATGGTTGGCCGATAGGTTCCATATGGGGGCTCCTACCCTGTGACCTTGTTTTGTCACGGGTCCCATTCTGGCGATCTACTGCCTTTAAGGCTTCATACGGGGCTTATCATCCGCAGTGCCGGGTGCACCAGCATCTCCACTCCGCGGCCGCTTCGCTTGGACTCTGCACCACTTTCGCACTGCGAGCGTGGGCCACAACCGATTGGACATGATTGGAGAGCATGTTCGGGAAGAGTTGCAGAGTCGCGCGCGAGAGTGTGCTGGTGGTGAACCCGATACTGCAGTTGATGAGCCCTGTATACATCTGAGGCTCCCGCCAGAGTGCCGAGGTTATGCCAGCGCTACGCCAGCATTTCGATCGATACACGTGTATTTCGTTGGGGACGTCAGCTAGCCCCGCTCCAACGAAATACACGTGCATCGATCGAAATGCTGGCGTAGCGCTGGCATAACTTCGGCACTCTGGCGAGAGCCCGACGACAGAGATATAGCGGGTGTTTGCGAACCGCTGATGTCTGTGCTGCATTTAGCTGCTCTTGGCTACTGCGCTGGGTACGCTTTGGGTGCAAAAACGAAGTAGTCTTATCCATTATTACGCTTAGCTCAGGCGATTAGGAAAGCAAGCCTTGGGAACTAAAACTGATATGATCATAAGAGATCCGAAAATTTCTCCTGGAAACTTTTGAAACGGATAGGCGAGCGTTAACGCCCTTAGAAGCCCTTCGAAAACGCATTGAATTCTGCGCTATTTATCGTCTATCCCATGATTACTGCTTCTCCTACTCGTCCCTAAACCACTTACATAGCTACAGGGCTCATTAATTATAGTAAGTGTGACCAACATCTCCACTCCCGCGCGGGACTCTGCACCTCTTCCACGAACATACTCTCTAACCATATCCAATCGATTGAGGCTCCGCCTTTCCCACGCTCGCAGCGGGAAAGTGATCAGAGAGCCCATGTTCAAAGAGGTGCAGAGTCCAGGCGAAGCTGCCGCGCGGGAGAGGACATGTTGGTATACCCAAATTGCGGTTGAAAGCCTTGTAACTTGTTGGCAACCTGCAACAACTTGTACCCAAGGGTGATAGGAACAATGTTGTTGCTGACATGTTGTTGCATGTTGCCAACAAGTTAGCTGTACTTATCGCAGGTCAGAGACGCAGTAGCAAGCAGAATCTTTCAGAGGACGACGTTAGAGCAATATGAAAATAGCTTATCAACCAGCGTATCAAGAGATGCGCACTGCGTCGCCCCTTGATATAATTCATCCATACATGACTATAAAAATTGAATGAACAAACTAGGTTTGAATAAGGGCCGCATGCACTAACCTCCCCGCTGAAGAGGGGATCGCAGCTTGAAAGAAAGCTTTATATTTCGAGACTCCAGATACCTGGATTTCACGTTGTGTACCTATCCGTAAGTATTTCTACTATCCTTCACTAAAAACATGTTGAACAGGAGCGAGAAGCTGTACGAACCGCATTTTCCAGCTTTTGTATGATCCCCGATGATCCCCGGCGCTTTTCTCTAAAGTCATTTTTCTTTCTCCGAAGTTAACGAAAACCTTCCAAAGTTGTACTGAACATCTAACACAACAGTGCTAAGCATGTTGCTGATGAGAACAAATGAGTTTTTGAAAAGTCGAATTTTTCGGTAAACCTCAAATTTCGACCTGTGGATCATCGAAAATTTCATGACTCCAAAACATCCTTTGTTCTAATCAGCAACATGCTTAGCACTGTCGGTTTAGATAATCTGCACAACTTTGGAAGGTTTTCGTTAACTTCGGAGAAAGAAAAATGACTTTAAAGAAAAGCGCCGGGGATCATCAGGGATCATGCAAAAGCTGGAAAATGTGGTTTGTACAGCTTCTCGCTCCTCTTCAACATGTTCATAGTGAAGGGTAGTAGGAATACTTACGGATAGGTACACAACGTGAAATCCAGGTATCTGGAGTTTCGAAATATAAAGCTTTCTTTTAAGCTGCGATCCCCTCCCCGCGGGGATGTTAGTGCATGCGGCCCTAAGATTTAAAGTCTATACAGCTAGTATTGCGCAGTTATAAGCAAGGAGCTTTGACCATTACGAAATCCGTAACCTTTTGACGAGCCTCTATTTCGACATAAACATCATCTTAAACTGAAAAACTTCTTTGTTCTATGCTTTGAAAAGTTGAATTGAAGAACCAAATTATAACATGGTGCGCATGTTTTGCGCAGACGAAAATGGTTGGCATGCCAGAAAGCCTGCATAACATGAGACTTCTCTTCCTCGGAGACGCAGACGAGCAGTGCTTTTACGTAAACAACGGAGAGCAAAACAAAAGGTCAGCATGGGTTCGAAAAACAGCCCCATGTTGGGAAATTTAGATCTTGTGTTATGAGAAGAAACAGAGCCGTATCGTTATGTCATTGAATTGGAATGAATGTTTAGATTCCAAGAAATAATGTTTTGAAAATTCCATTCGCAAAGTCTTCTGCGGTGGATTTATTCTAAAGTTAGAGAGGGAAAAGTGATCAAATCAAAACAAGAGTAGAAAAACTGAAGATTTTACGTAAGCGTATGCAAAAGCGAGAATTGGTCCTTATTGAATTACAAAAGCAATCATACGAAGAAAAAACTGAATTTTTGAAGCACAACAATTGACTTTAAAAAAATATGAAGAAAGTCAAATGTAACGAACCTCTTCCTTCGATCCCGCAGTCAGTGGACTTTGCGCTTTGTGCATATTCCACTGGAATACTCGCGTTAGTGTTTTTGATGAGCCCTCGGTCATTTTGGACAGTTTTTCCACCATTACCCGTTTGCCCGCATCGGAGAGCTCCTCTGCAAATGTTGGAATTGTTATTTTGTTCGAATCGAAGTGCACATGCTCCATTTCAAAAGCGGGGCCGGAAGATAACTTGAGCGGTGCGGTTGGAGCGCGATATTGTCTATCTGCGAGTAGAACCACTCTCCAACATGTTATAAGCTGAGGTAAACAAGCGCAAAGATCTCATGGACTGACAGTCCTTTAATGTTTAAATGTGAAACAGAAACTTTTGCCTACCAAATCCTTCTGCAGCAACTTCTCCAATCAATTCGTCAACAATCGCTGAAGTTGGTCTTCGTTCAGTATCCTCCCTCAAATCGTTACATTTCTTAATAACCATTCGTCGCATAGCAACTTCTGGAGTGCTCCTTGGAGTGCAAAAATGCGCCCTCAAAGGGTTGCAAGGGTCCGTGATGAAATACCCGTCTTTGATTTTACACATCGGCAGCGGTGCCGGATATGCCGCTCCATCCCTGGCCTTCAGTGATCGACATCCGCAACAAATATAACTGCCAGTTTCCCTGTCAGTCAGCAGCTTCTTGAAACTCCATTCATAACAAAGCTCGGGGTTCTCAGGGATACGATAAACAGCGATATCTGGTCCTCTTTGCTGCGACGGTACAAATTCAGCCGGAGAGGGGTCGAACATCAACAACAATAATTGTACAGGACAGCTTTGACGATTGATCCAACAGAGCGTGAAGGCGAGAGAAGTAGAGCAAGCACATGCGCAATGAAGAGACTGCGCGCGAGAAGAGGTTCGCGACGGCGAGAGGACACGCGCCTCATCGCGGCAGCCGGTGGGTGGGGACCAGTTCTTGCGCAATACAATCACGCAGGGAAACAATACTTATAGTTATTAAAACAAACCTTTTGGACTGATGCATAACACTTTGTACAAACGCTTATGTCAGGTCAAAGAGATAACAACGAAAGATTGTTTTGTGGAATATTTTGGCGGGATACTGTGACAATGGGTCGTACAGTGATTTTTCGCTCAACTATTAAAACCTTGCGTCGCCGACGAATTCAAGCCCATTTTATCAAGCAAAGTCTTCATTATGAACGCGGCGTCAGTTTCATTAGTATTTATCAATTTTGGACTGAAACAATAACCTAACGATAGGAAGTTCGAATTGTTCTAAACTTGGAATTGACAGGAAATTTCTAGAAACGTCTCCTCAAATACATGAAGAGGTTTTTTGTGATCAGAGTAAGCAGTGATCTTTCTAAACCAATGGGAAAGGGAATGTTTCCCTATAAACTTTCAATTTGAAACAAACTTGAAGAACTCTCTACTTTCTCCATGAATTCGTGATAGGATATTTTACCATTTTATTGTTACTAATAGTTTCTATTTATTGTTGTCTATGTGGTCATTTTTGTTGATTTTGTTGTTTTGTCAATATAGGGTAGCCTATGTAATAAATAATAAGAACGAAACGGAGTTCTTAGGTTATAATTTTACAATTATAACATTATCTATTACTTTTAATACTATAATAATAATAATAATAATAAAATATATTGGGAAGTGTAAGCGAGTCTATCGCGTATATGTCAAGGTGAAATGAAACAGCGATAAGCAGCGTACATTTGCCGAAAAGTAATTTTCCTGTTTCACAAACTGTCTCACCTGGAGAATGGAAGTTAATCCCTATAAGATAATTTTTTCGGGTAATTTTCCGTTATTAGGACCATTTTTGAGCGCTCATAAAATATGTCCTTTGCTCTGCAGAAATTTACAAATCTTATCGTTAAAGGACTGTTTACTTGCAACGTGTCAAAAGAAAATCAACATGTTTCACATAAAATTTACATGTTTCTTAAAGTCATTTCGGTGAGACAAGAAAGCATTTGAAATGACTCAGAAGCTATTAAGTTGTCTCAAAAGTAAACTCCACTTTCAAATAAATTGAGCTGTTTTTGTTTTCATGATAGACCTAGGGTACCACTCGATAGAGCGGAACAAGCTCTACAAAAAGACTACCAAAGATCCACCTAAGTCGTAACCCAGGTAAAATTTGGGGCCAAAAATCGAAATTTTTCAGCTACTCTAAAAATCGGATCTGCTTCCAGAAAATTCCTACGGACTTCCAACTTGGTATTTATATGGTACTCACATAGTAGCACCCATAAATGTATTTGGCGGATTTTTTTCGGGGCTCAAAATTGAGAACAAAAGATGGTCCGAAAATGCCAAAATGCCATTTTTTTCGGGTTTTATATAAAACTTGGCATTTCTCGATTACAAGAGCATATACAAAGCCGAGATTTTTAAATTATACTTAGTAAGGCTTGTAGTATACAATGACATATGCGGGAGGGGCTGGGGGCGGAGTGTGCCATTCTTGGGCAATTTTTGTTTCTCGCTTTCTATGCTCGGAAAAAATTCGGTAAAGGCATATTTGAGTGTTACTATCTGCCTTCTGTATAATGACCAAGTTGGAGGTTTGTAGGATTCTTTGTCGCAGAAATCCAATTGTCAGGCGACAGAATTTTTTTTCGGTTTTGGCTTCAGACTTTCCATGGAATGCGACTTAGGCGGACCTTGGTGAATATTTTGTAAAGCTTGATCTGCTCTATCGAATGATAGCCGAACTTTACTGGAAAAACAAGAATATTGTCCGACTTCGGTTGCTTATTAATCTTGGCATCGATAGTTGATAAACTTTTGAACTTGTTGAGCGTCGCCCAAGATATTAACCACACTTTATTCACGGCCAACGTTTCGGCGGGATCGCCTTCGTCAGAGCCTAGAAAGTCGAAAACATAAGTGAAACATTTTCCTAGACGCCAAGATTCTAGCTCAAGACGAAAGTCAAATTGGAGAGAGGCAAAGGCAAAGAGAGATCGGGTAACCAAGACTCACCTTCGATAACGTGTGATGATGCGTTAGACCACCATATACTCAGACTATACCTCTTCCCCTATTTGTAGTGGCTGAGATTAGTACTGGAGTGACTATATTAGCGTACGAGCCTGACCTCCTAGTGCGCAAAACTTTGGAAGCGTTCTGGATCTACGCCAAGAATCCAAAGATGAATCGGAAGGAAGAGTGCATAGCCATCACCAATGAACTGGCGCCATATCAATACCTCTGTGGGTTTTGATATGAGGTGGTCAGGTCACCCGAGCACTATAAATAGCGGAAGAGGTATAGTCTGAGTATATGGTGGTCTAACGCATCATCACACGTTATCGAAGGTGAGTCTTGGTTACCCGATCTCTCTTTGCCTTTGCCTCTCTCCAATTTGACTTTCGTCTTAAGCTAGAATCTTGGCGTCTAGGAGAATGTTTCACTTATGTTTTCGACTTTCTAGGCTCTGACGAAGGCGATCCCACCGAAACGTTGGCCGTGAATAAAGTGTGGTTAATATCTTGGTCGACGCTCAACAAGCTCAAAAGTTTAAAACAAGAATAGTTTGAATAACTTGAATGTTCCTATTTCTTTAAACCTGGGCATTGTATATAATCTCCAATTTTGTTTGTGCCGAACAGGTTCGTTATGGTGGTATCTTTATTCGAATGGCCTAACGTTTCGGCGCGTTCGCCGTCCTCAGAGGCCTAAAAACGGGACAAAGCATCATCCATGGCACCAGACCATCAAATGTCTCTTATAGCTTAGCTAGTTTCGACCTCTTTCTTAGTTCAATCGGCAAAAATCCTCAAAAATCGAAATGAACCAGCCGTTTACACCACCGCTATGTGAAGTGTCCGCGCCGGAAGAATAAGACAGTACGACCGGAAATATGTGACAGAAGCGGACAGTTGAGCTATACTCTGATGGGCAGATAGAGAGTTATCTACGAAAGGCGGATAAAGTCTATCTACCATCTATAGCTCACATAGTGCTACGAACGACAGGAAGTCGGCAGTGATGGACAAGCACTCGTTCTTGTTATTCATTTCTGGACTCTTTGCCGAGATCCAGAATGCCTCCAACGCCTTTCTAGCCGAGATCTCGTTCTCGTGTGTGAAAATCGTGCATTTGATTTTGAAGTCTTTCCCACCATGTGAGTCATTCCTATGCCTGCCCAGCGGTGTTATTAAACTTTGCCTTCTCTTGCTTGCCAAGTGTTCTTTGATTCGCACGCTTAGTACTCTGCCAGTTTCACCGATATACAGTGCGCCGCAATCAAGGCATTCGATTTGGTATACGACCCCTACTATAGCGCAGTCTCCTACTCTGCCATATGGACATATTGTGCATTGTTCGGTTATACAAAGTCGATCATAGAGTCGATTTCGAACAAGTTGCTTTTTGATATTCGCATTTGGTATATTAATTAAAATGACGTCATCCAGCAACTGAGCGCAAGCAATGCATTTTGGAAGGCAGAGTTGATCTTGTCAGAGAAGAAAGGGAGGCAAAGCGGAAGTTTTTGAGTTTGTCGAATGCGATTATCGCGTGTATGTTTTGGTCGTGTTTGCGATGCGCAATAACCGTTGCTGCGAGCGATTTCTGAGGCTAAGCATCTTGCTTCGCGGCGCTCATCCTCTCCCGAGCACACCATTGTTGCTGTCCTGAACATATTTCGAACTATAGCCCGCTTAGTGCTTACAGGATGTGCGGAATTCGCGTTAATGAGGATGTTTTTGCAACTATCCTTGCGATACCACTTCATTTTTACAACGCCGTTGGTTAAGTTGACCAGTGTGTTCAAGTAGGGCAACCATCCTCCTCGTGGTTTCTCGCGCTTAATTTGATGTACTCGGAGTGTAAGTTAAGAATCCTAAAACATTCGTCCATTTCGGACTGAGTTCTAGTCACTAAACAGCAGTCGTCGATGTATCGACGGTACATCAATGGCATTCGACTAAGCACAGGTTCCTCGATTTTATTCATAAAACAAATTGCAAGAATCGATGCTAGTCGCTGACACATAGCGAGCCCGCGGATCTGGGAATAGTATCTTCCAGACCATCGAAAGATATTACATTTTAAACAATCGCTCACTAGGGTCATTAGTCGCAGCTTGCTAAGTCCAAACATATTGATAGTTCCGGCATGTTTATCCAATGACTCCGATAAAGCCTGCAACAGAGACTCGCTTAGAATTAGAGCCAAAAGTGAGAGTACTTCACAAGGAACTAGTGCGACTAGACGACTACTACCCACGATTCCGTTTCAAAATGATCAAACTTTGCAGGCTTTATCGGAGTTATTGGATAAACATGCCGGAACTATCAATATGTTTGGACTTAGCAAGCTGCGACTAATGACCCTAGTGAGCGATTGTTTAAAATGTAATATCTTTCGATGGTCTGGAAGATACTATTCCCAGATCCGCGGGCTCGCTATGTGTCAGCGACTAGCATCGATTCTTGCAATTTGTTTTATGAATAAAATCGAGGAACCTGTGCTTAGTCGAATGCCATTGATGTACCGTCGATACATCGACGACTGCTGTTTAGTGACTAGAACTCAGTCCGAAATGGACGAATGGTTTAGGATTCTTAACTTACAGTCCGAGTACATCAAATTAAGCGCGAGAAACCACGAGGAGGATGGTTGCCCTACTTGAACACACTGGTCAACTTAACCAACGGCGTTGTAAAAATGAAGTGGTATCGCAAGGATAGTTGCAAAAACATCCTCATTAACGCAAATTCCAAATTCAAATTCGCGAAATAATTGATAAATTGAGGTTATCGGTGCATCAAATGATGAGATGGTGTGAGAGTTGGGGATTACGAGTTAATCTTTCGAAAAGCCAGATACTGAAGTTGGGAAAGAAAACTATTGAATTTGACCAT